CTGCTTCGTCTGTACTAATGACGACGGACAAGGGGAAACGTTGCAGGAAAATCTTGGGCATTTACTAAGGCTTCACAAGGATCGAACCCTGAGGCTTTAGGTTAGCGAGCCAGTGTCGTACTCACATAGCCACAACGGCTCCTATGAATTAATAAAAAAAATAATTCATGCTTTGTCTCAACTTGTGTATACTTATACAGGTGATACTTTTAAATGAGATCTTAATTGGAGGTCAATAAATCCACAATAAGTACTAGATATTTAATAAAATTTATATTTAAAGTGCTAATTATTTTTTAACTATGATCAGATTCAAATTCAGAAGCTGGTCAAAATTCTATTAGCAGAGAAGTGAAATAAATAATAGGCCTATGAGTATGGGCTAAAGCCTATAGCCTAAAAAACAATGGAAATTTCATTTACCTTATTTAGTTATCAAAATATACAATTAATCAGGACCATATGTAGTAGAATTTCACGGATATTGTTGGGGTTTTTTTAGTGTAGGCTTATGATGTATATGGATCCATGCACAATGGTTTGTTAAGCAAAGAAATACAAGCCAGAAAATTTATTTTGACATGCCAAGCTTGAAAAAATGGCTACCGATAAAAACTTATCTGTGCCCCGTAATAATCGACTACTTTCGTTTCTTCAATCGACTTGGCCACGACGATACGTTAATTAGCCTATGGATAAACTACCTTTTTATTAACAAATCTTAAACTTACCTTCACAAAAAAAAAAAAAAACAACAGAAATGTAGTACGAATACGATGCATTTTTTCGTTTCTTTGCTTATTTTCTTTGTACCGGAACTAATCTCCAACACACTAGACTAAAAGTAGTCTCGAACATGCTAGAGTCTTTCGCAGTCTCGAACAATTTTTGTGGGGCATATATACTTTCAGCCAATCAGCTTCACCCGAATAGTAGACTCGAATGTCAATCAACATCCACGATTCTGACAGATCGTCAGAAATGCGGTATGTGGTCTAAGGGGAGACAACTATTGGAAATATGCACCAATTGTTAAAAAACAACATATTTGGGCTGTAGATTCAAAATAAATATATTTCAAATGCTAGAATAAAAAACCTGAATTCTTAGTGAAGTACGATGGGTTTTAACTAACTTTAATTAATCAAAACAATTAATATGCTAATTAACAGATTAATTGATACGATAATGACTACAATTATCTAGTCATCGTTTTCCTTTTTAAAAACATTTCTAGTACCTTAACGATCTAATCTACACGTACTTTTTTTTACTTTTTAGCCACTCAGCAAAAACAAAAACAAAAAACAAAACAAATCCTATCTGTTAATGTATGATCTACCCTCAAAGTTTATTGACATCGCTCTTCCTCCCGCTCTATTTTTACATTTTGATTGGTTAAATCTGAGAATATTCAAGTTCCAAAATATAACAACCTTACTCTATTCTGTCACACACGACTCTAAACAGCTAGAAGTGTAGATATTTTTCTAGTCCAGATAATAAGAAACAAAAAAACGGGTATATTAATCTAGTCCCTATTAGCCAGTATGGACGTTTAACCTTGTTTCACTTGTCGTATATAGAACCCAATTTTGGTCGTGAAATTCAAACTCAAATTAAAAAGAATACAGAGGTTATCGACATATTTAAATAGGTCCATAGTATTTTTTAGTATATCGGTCAAAAGTTCCCCTACGAAACTAAAAAAAACATATGTTAAATAGATAATGTAATATTAACCTTGTTTTTAAAGAACTAACCACTTTTATTTTTATTAAAAATATTTCAAATGCTAAAATAAAAACATCAATTATCTTCTCTTTTTTTTAAAAAAACAACATTTCTCATACCTTAACGACATACAGCTTGTAATTTTAATTAACCTCAATTAATATAACACAATTAATATACTAATTAACATATTACTTAATACTACAAATGACTACAATTATATGATTGGTTAAATCTGTGTATATTCAAATTCCAAAATGTTAATCTAGTCCTTATTAGCCAGTATGTGCTAAATAGTTAAACCTTGTTTCATTTCTCTTATTGAAGTTTAAAAACTGAAATTGAAAACTGCCATCAGATCGGTAAATAATTTCACCTAATTTAAATAAATCAAAATAAATTTTAAAAAACCAAATAAAAAAAATATTGAAAAAAAAATATTGAAAAAAAAATAATGAAAAGAAAAATTAACTAATGAATAAAAACAATAATTATTAAAAAAAAAATAATTATTTAAAGAAAATTAATTAATAAAAAAAAATAATTAATGAAAAAAAGTAATTGAATTATGTATAATTCATGAAAAGAAAATTCATTAAAAAAAAAGTAATTAGATTATGAATAATTAATTAGATTATAGATAATTAACTAAATTATAAATAATCAACTAAATGAGGAAATAACAAAACTAAATGAACAAATACAATTGACTGGAGAGATTTTGGACATGTGTTGGTCTATGAGGCGGGGCGACGTTAAAAAGAAGTCGCGGGGCGATGCGACGCGCGGCGTGGCGACACGGGTGCCATGCGCGGTACAAATAAAACATTTCGCGAACCCACATTCATATGAACAAGTACAAACGATGACCTCTATCAATCATTCAAATTACGTAGTTGTCACATGATCATTTGTATATCGCCTGAAGTGCCGCAGGCATCAAATACCTCAGGGTGCCGCAACCAAATACCTCGGGTGCCGCAATACGCTCAGGGTACCTCCCACACTACTTACAATGATATGTGCTTTTAAAAGCATTTTCGTTTATTTTAAGGGTTCCAAAGAATATAGTTATACTTCCTTTAAATAGACAACTTTTAACTTGTTTCAAACAGAACAAAATATGTTTTAAGCTAAGAGAAAAAACGTCGTCATGGACCTGTCTTATTACCTAATGAACCGATAATAGTAATAAATAGGTTTAACATCCCCTGATATAGTATCGAAGTAAAAAGTGTAAAAAAAAACATATTTAAATTTATTTGTATATTCACAGGGTGGGGTTTGTGGGGGTAGGGGAATATGGCATTAAAGTCTGGTAGTATCAATAAGCATATGTTGCGCAGTTGCGCAAATATGGAAAGGAACAAGATCTTTGGATTATAAACATACATTTCAAGTTTCATCCAAATCGGATAAAAATTGTGACTTCTAGAGTGTCCACAACCTTGGTATTACATATTTTACACTATTTGCGTACCAGCGGCCATTTTGTCCGGCAGTTTCGGTCAGATTTTTACGAAATTCGAACTCAACCTTCATTGGTGTGTAACGGCGATATATTGAAGCGGTTTTTTAAACCGTGATTTTTCGTACAATCAAGGGCCATAATCCAGGAAGTTATGGTCCTATATGCGCAAATATCGAGAGGAACCAAGATCTTTGGGTTATAAACATACTTTTCAAGTTTTATCAAAATCGGACAAAACTTGTGACTTCTAGAGTGTCCACAGCCTTGGTATTACATACTTTACACTATTTGCGTACGAGCGGCCATTTTGTCCGGTAGTTTCGGTCAGATTTTACGAAAGGAACAAGATCTTTGGATTATAAACTTACATTTCAAGTTTCATCAAAATCAGATAAAAATTGTGACTTCTAGAGTGTCCACAACCTTGGTATTACATACTTTACACTATTTGCGTACCAGCAGCCATTTTGTCCGGCAGTTTCGGTCAGATTTTTACGAAATTCGAACTCAACTTTCATTTTTTATTTGAATACAAATAGTGACTTCTATCAGGCCCACAAGCTAAAAATGCAATTTTTCGAACAATTAGGGTCCATAATCCAGGAAGTTACGTTGGGATATGCGCGATTATCGACATGAACTAAGATCTTTGTGATATAAACATAAATTTAAAGTTTCATCAAAATTGGATCAAAATTGTGTCCTCTAGAGGGTTCACAACTTTAATATAACATATTTTTACACAATAATTTGCGTACGAGAAGTGGCCATTTTGTCGGACAGTTTTGGTCCGATTTTCACGAAATTCGAACTCAACAATCATTAGGGTGTAACGGTGATATATTATGCAAACGGTTTTTTAGAGAGACCACAAGCTAAAAAGGCGATTTGTCGTACAATAAAGGGCCATAATTCATGAAGTTATGGTCCGATACATGCCAATATCGAAGGAACCGAGATCTTTGGGAGATGCATCTATATTTCAAGTTTCGTTAAAATCGGATAAAAATTGTGACCTGTAGAGTGTCCACAAACAAATTGTGGGCGGGCGGACAAGGGCGACGGCATATACGCGAATATTCAAAGGAACAAAGATCTTTGGGTTATAAACATGATTGTCAAGTTTCATCAAAATCGGATGAAAATTGTGACCTCTAGAGTGTCCACAAACTAAAAACGTGATTTTTCGTACAATCAGGGGCCATAATCCATGAAGTTATGCCAATATCGAAGGATCCGAGATCTTTGGGAGATGCATCATATATAGATTCGTCAAAATCGGATAAAAATTGTGACCTGTAAGAGTGTCCACAAACAAATTATGGGCGACGGCATAATACGTTCACATGAAAATGTGGGCGTATAAAAATACATCCAGTTAAAAAATCAACCACTTTACTTCATTCTGATATACATCAAATCGTAAGCTAGCTGCCTGCTCTTTCTTGGGCGTCTTCGGAGAAATTGGCATATTTGATTGAAAAATTGATGATGGTATGTATGCCCAGGACGTCACACTTTTTTAGGGAATTTTCGACGCGATAAAGAGTGTCGCTCAAAAGGAAGTGACCAATCATAGGGTACTCCACAATCAGAGATTTCTCGAGCGATATCCTAATAATAATCATACAATCAGTGGCAATAATCCAGGAAGTTTTGTACAATCCGTGATTTGTGGGATATAAACATATATTTCATCAAAACAGAATAAAATCTGTGACAAAAAAAATGTGAACGGACGTCTGGACGGACGGACAGACAGGGGTGACCACATAAAAAGGCCAATATGAAAATGTGGGAGTATAAAATTTAATGAAATAGATTAAGAATTTAAGATAATAATATCGAAAACAATTAAACACGTTTCATCAACGTGTGGATATTTGTAAGACCTCCAATTTCTCAACTTCATTATTCTCACATTTACAAACACAGAAAAATGTTGAAAAGTCATTAAATTGGAAACAATATGGATAAAAAAAAGTCTCAAAAAAGACAATGCCTACCCATCGTATATCGGTAAAAACTTTGCAATGATAATGGTATGACTTCCACATTTCACAAATTTATTTACAAACAGTTGACATTCTGGCTACGTTCAAGATTTTTTATATATATATATAAAAAAAAAGCAAAAACAAAAAGCAAAAAAAAGTCTCAAAATAAGCGAAGAAAAACTTTAATATCTTTGTAACAACTGTGAGAAAAGTTTTACCACAATCCTTGTAAGGTTTTAATTCTTGATTTCACAACTACCAAATCTTTCAACAGCGGGTGTGTTGAAAGATTTGGTAGTTGTGAAATAAAGAATTAAAACCTTACAAGGATTGTGGTAAGATTGTCTTACTAACTAGTATATATATATATATATATATATATATATATACATATATACATATATATATATATATATATATATACTAGTTAGTTACTATACTAGTTATTATTGGTATATCTATGGTACTAGTATAGCTCTTTCTAGTACAGTCATAAGTAACGACTGACTAAGAGGCATTTAGTTAGTTCAAGGAAAAAGATTTTATTTTAGAAAGATTGGCAAATTGAATAAAATAACTCTACGACGTTCCGAATACATCAGGCTTGGAGCCACAAACCCCGGTGTTCCAACATGGCGCACACTGATTTATATTACGTTCTCCACAGTGACACGCTCCATTCTGACAACATGCACAGTTATACCGGAACTGATTATATGGACATTGACATCCGTCCAGACTTTTAGTCCAGCCATCAATACCAAATTCTGGCGATACGAGTCCTAAAATATATAAGAAATGGAAAGAAATTTGTAAGAAGTGGTATCATATTGCCCACGACACCTGTCACTACATTGTTTAAACAGTTACACGCACATATACTCAGCCAAATTAAAAACTTGACACTCGGGATTTTTGCGACTAGATTTTTAATATTTTGTTTAAGGCAACTATTTTAGTGTTATGTTGTGCACAGACGACCTTGACATCAACAGAAAGCAAGAATACATCTCGCCGAAAGTCCTTGACATTGATAACGTTCGTGATGTCACAGTACCCCCCAAAATGAAATTCACAGACTTGGAGAACAATCGGAATAAAGTGTTTAGTAACGGTTGTGGCCTCCTCTAGCGTCTCGTATTGCAACACAACGTCTTCTCATGGATCTCAGAACATTAGTAAACACTACCCGAGGAAGACGTCGCCACTGCTCAGCAAGAGCATGTTGAAGGTCCTGCAACGTCAGTGGTGGATTCACTTGCTGACGAACACGTCGACCCAGTTCGTCCCAGATGTGTTCAATAGGATTAAGGTCGGGGCTAAGCGACGGCCAATCCAGGACCTGGACACCGTAGGCGAAAGACCGAAGAAATTTATCGTTCAAGTTCGTTGCAACAACCTCTGTGGGAGATTTTAATTTTTTAAATTACACGTCTCTTTGTACTAATTTAAAAACCATGATCTCCACACATTCAGCATGTGCCAGTATTTAATAATTATTTTTTTAAAAATAGAATTCTTTTTAACCTAATCACCTAAAAAATAAACATTACAGGCGTAGGAATATACACTATGATCAATGACGTAACGGCTAGTTCGGTCGATGTGCAATCGGCCTTGAACTCGAAAGATAAATACTCATCCGGAAACCTCCGAATTTTGTTGCCGAGTGCCAGTTTGGTCAATCAAAATAAAGAAAACTTTTAGCCCCGATCCTTCAATAATGGCGTGTATAGTCAACAAGGACAGTCTGACAAGAAAAATGAAGTGCCTTATTTATCAGAATGCAACACAGCCCTGCAAGTTACTGGTTTTTAACGGCAACACCTGGAGGCATTGTGTGGAATATTCAAAACAGTTGCAGACTTTGGATGGAGAAGAAAAAAACATTGCAATCACGTATCGAGATGTGTTCGAAGGTATGTTTGTATGTTATTATTAGTTATTTTATTATTATTATTTTCTTAGTCTTACTATTTAAATTTTTTCTAGGCTGTGAGTGTTCACGTTGGTTGTTGTTAAGAAATATATAAAGTACTTGTTCACAATACATGGTATCACGCAAACCAGTGGTGGGCAAACTTTCAAGTTTTAAAACAAAACTGAAGCCTAAACTGGTGAAGGGTAAAACATTTTTATGAAACATAACTAACAAATTACATTAGTCATTAATTACAATGTCAAGGGTTATGAAATATCATTTTCAATAAAGTAATATTAGAAATATGGAGTACAGCACATACTATTTAAAATTACATTCTTATTACTATTATTAGAATCATTTTAGTCAGGTTCCATAGAACTTTGTCAAATTTACATTCCGTCGGTGATTGGTCTAAAACAAAACCTGCCGTCTTGTGGGAGCATAGTTTGGAATAGCGTTTACATAAAAATCAAAGGCAATTAGTCTACGCCGTAAAAAGATCTGCAAAGATTATTGATCCTACAGGCGGAAATGCTATTTAAATAAGCAATTTTAGATTTTGATTTCATTTAGAGATTGCATTGCTCAAAAAAAATTCACACATGTGACATACAATTGTTTTTTCTATCATATTTCCTATTTTCTTTAGGAACAAAGGAAGAAGCTTCAAAGGTGAATCAAAAAGATGTTCGTGTAAAGTTGCTGCTCTTTCCTGTACAGATCTATGTGGATGTAAAGACTGTCAAAATTCCCCACCTACACCCACAGAGTGTACTATGGATGATAATGATGATCATGATGATGAAGAAGAATGTTGAATGTAAAAACTATATATTGTTACAAAGATAATAATCAATACATTCTCAATAAAAAAAATAAATATATATATTTTCATTATTACATCAACAAATATTTGTTTTAAAAGTATTATTATTTTTCCTCTTCTTTAAAATGATTTTCTATCCTTAATTCTTTGTACACCTTTAACCTGGCATTACTAAAATTAAAGTTATATATGGGAGCATGGATTTTATCCTCAGTTGAATGCTACATTCTCACATAGTTTATAACTCTTACATCAGGTTTTTTTTGTGTCTGTCCCTTATGATCGGCTGAAGTTTAGTGATTTTTTTTTCTCTTGATTTCTGATATTTTTAAAATCAAGTTATTCCATCGGATTATAATTTTGTTTTATTTTATAGTAAAACTAATGTTTTAAATCTGTATCATTAGTCGAGTTTAAATTTTGAACAGTTTTACAATTCAAGTAATCTTTGTTAATATTGAACCTATCATTGAACTCGCTATAACATATATTAACCATAACAAATTCATTATGCATATTTTGTACACTTTAGTCCATGAATGATTTAGTATAATTATAAAAATCAACATGTTTTATTAAATTTTAAAATGACTTTGAATATATGTTTTTACATACCTATTGTATGCTGATTCAAGCTTATAAATTCATATCTTATCAACAGAGCTTGTACATACTGTTTTTACCATATTCATTTTCATTAAAATCAGAATTTTTGTCAATTAAAGTCATTACAGTAATATTAAATACAAATTTATTTTAGTCTATTATGGTACATTTTTTCTCAGTTGTTTGATGTTAATTATCAATGAATTAGTGTATGTGTGGTGTGTACATGTGTGTGTGAGTGTATGTATTATATATATGTGTATATTTATGTATTTGATTTATTTTTGTAATTTCATTATGTTTTGATTGTAATATTTATATCTGTTTGTATTTTTTTTTTTTGGGAGAGTGGGGTTGCCTTCTCTATAATCCAATTATCTTTAATAAATAATGTTAAAAAAATATAACTCCCATAGACCACTCCTTTGAGCAAGACCAAGTAGTCTATATATATTTTTTAAAATAGGGGAATGGACAAACAAGGGACATTTTAGCCAGTTGTTAGAACACAACCTGTATTATACCTATGCATTAATTTCAAAAAGTCATAATTTAGCAAACACAAATAACTGTCCACAAAACATCAGTTAATTGTTATTACATTGTCAAACCTTATTAGGGGTGCTTTTGGTATGGATGTGGTCGGGCTTTAGGAATTTCCGTTTTGTGGGTATATTGATATTAAAAGGTATTTCCAACGTTATATGGAGGGTGGGGGATTAAGCAGTGTATGCGGGGGGGGGGGGGGGGTGCTGGGCCTTGCCTTTGATTTATGCATAGTTATATTATATGGATGCTACAGTGTCGACTTTATTAGAGATGAGGAAGAGTGGGCTTAGGAGATCTATTCTAACTAGTTAATATTAGGGTGAACTTGACAATGCAAAGTATGTATGTCTACACACGCAAAGACTACAGTAGGAAGAGAGCCTCTAATAAAATATAGCTTCACACACCTTGATTGATTTTGATATTTGGCAATTATCTATATTTATATTCGATTATATATAGGCCTATATCATTACTATCAAACAACATTTCCAACCCTTCTCAAATAATCTTAATACTCGGAGCCGTGGTGGGACGTTAAACACGATGCATGCAAAAATTAATTCCACAATATATTGATTCATCACATTTACACAGGCTGCAAACAGCTTAAAATTTGTTGAGAGAGGACAAGCCCTTCAGGTATTACCGACAGCGGCTTCACGGGGGTAAGAGGGGTAAAGCTTGTCTGGCATCGGGGAAAACTTTCCGTCTGATGGGGTGGAGGGTCCGAAAACACGGCACATAATCGCCAAGTGGTAAGCAGCTGTCAGTTGGACACTCTACCCAATGAGTCATCGCTGACCTTAATCTTTCACATTTATGCACTTATTACATGTTAGCCGACACCGGTAAATACCAGTATTAATAGCGCGCACTTTCTTTTCATTAGAAATATGATTTACAACGAGTTTGGCTAAAAAAAATCGACCTAATTATATTATAGCAAAACAACGACATTGATCTATTAAATTCTCCTTAAGGTCACGTGTATTTACTGTTATTCGCTATTTACTAGATTTTCATTGGCTGAAAGCTCGCCGTCTCACTACTTTTATTATTGCGAGGACAAAAAATACTGTCGTTTAGATTGTTTGTTTAAAACGTTTCTGGCACATAAATTGGAGTGTGGCAGTTTTGTTTACAACACATTAGGGTTATTTCTCGAGAAATAAATATTAAAACTTTCCACAGCGGTGAGTTGCAACGACTTTTGAAAACTAAGCTAGTTACAACTTCCCAGTCCTCCGCCTACCGGCATTTCTTTAAAAAATTCTGGGTAGCAATTGCTGTATGGGGTCGAGCATTGTCTTGTTGAAACATTAGTCCAGGCCCATGTCTCTGCATAAACGGAAGAAGAACAGGTTGCAAAATCTGTTCCCTGTACTGGACAGCATTTAAGTTCCCTTGGACAACAACAAGAGGAGAACGTCCATGTACTCAAAAAGAACCCCAAACCATGACGCTGCCGCCACCAAATCGGTCAACTTCTCTGACGCATACTTGAGCGTAACGTTCACCTCGTCTGCGGTACACTCGGGACCTGCCATCGGCAAATCTCAAAGTGAATCGAGATTCGTCACTAAAGACAACCGAATTCCACTGTCTTTGAGTAAATGTTATGTGTCTTGTGGCCCACACAAGTCGGTTACGGCGATGAAGAGATGTCAATATTGGTCCATTATAGGGCCTCCGAGCTCGAAGACCAGCGCCTGCAAGCGATTTCGAACAGTTTGTGCAGTTACCCTTCCACCAAACATCTCTCTACTTGTGGAGGTTGCAGTGACAAATCTGTTTCTAAGATGACGTAATCGTATTGCTTGATCTTCCTGGAGTGACGTCACTCGTGGCGCTCCCGCCCTTGGGCGGTCGGCAATAGTTCCAGTTTGAAGCACTCTCATTCTAAGATTAATTATTGTCTGGCGTGAACAATTAAAGGCTCTTGCAACAGTGACCACAGACTGACCAGCATAGAGCCTACCTATAGCACGTAGACGTTCTACATTTGAAAGGCGCGGCATTTTCTAACAAAGATGAAAATAACAATTTTAATTTGTTTTTCCAGTTCAAGTTACGTGTGTGTGTTCAGTTTAAGCAAACTTGCATCGATTGACCCCACGAGTTTGTGTTTGCACGTGTTTTTCAGGTTTTTCATCTTTATATGCTCAAAAGTCACGTGATCCACGTGACTTTACAATTTTATGAAATTAAAGGCTTCTTACTACTTACTATCATTAGAAACACTTTAAAATTTATTTGACTTACCAGAAAAAAAAAATTGTTGAAATTCATCAGTGTCAAGTTTTTAATTTGGCTGAGTATATGACGTTTTTGTTCGTTATGATTCTTAAGCTCATCATGCACAGATACGTATTTAGAGGAAAAAGCCCGCTTATCCGTTTTTCAGCCGTAAGAAGAGTAAATTAAAATCTCTTGGACATGTTTACAAAATCCGAAAACGACTTTTTAAAGAGATAAATCTGCCTATTGCATGTCTTTTTTTTGCATCAAATGTTATATACATTATTAAGTAGACATGTATTCACATAAAAAGTCCGTACTGCCATAATAGTTTAACGTAAAAAACGGAAAATCGAGACTTATTATCGTAGAAATGACACTTGACAAGCGAGACTATTTACGCTACTTCTCGTCAAAACACTCATAACTTCGTTCAAAATAAAGTAATTTGAATGAAATTACCAATATATTAATTCATTTTCAATATCTATTTTAGAACTATTATAGCAACAACGGCCAGCTTTTTTTTCAAATCAAAATCTTACATAATGTATCTTTAACAACGTAGATTCGGGGTGCTGGTAATCTCCAATGATCGTTCTATCCGTTAAAATAATGAATAAGTAAATATATACTACAGTATAAATGACAAACTTTTGTTACAGCCGGCTTCTTCTTCACCACATCTTGTACACTGGTTGGCGTTAGGTGATAGACAGCGACACGCCCCTACTTCACAACATGCACATTCTCCAATAGAATCACTAGAATCACATGGACATCCTGTCCTATTACTGCTCAAATAAAAACATCAACATGTGACAAAACTCGATCTTAAAAGCAGACGTTTTAATTTTGATGTATCACATTGATATCTAACATAAAAGTCAGTGGTTACAACACGTGGACTTATTGACTAATCAAACCGCCTGTATTGGAATGTTGGGTTGCCAGAATACGTTTAAGGGTTATACTGATGGGTTTATGTCTAGACTATGATTGACTGAAACAAACTGACTTCTCACCATTGACTTGGGAGAGAAAGTACGTTATGTTCTGTGAAACGAAACCAAATTGAAATATAACTTAGATTGGTTTGTTATATAATACATGGAACACCTCCCTTGAGTCCCGATTCACTGCACATGTATCTTACGAACTCCTTTTAATCAAACACTCGTAAGATTGGAACGTATTTTATATCAACCTCAAATAAATAAACAAATTGTAATTTATTGTACTTTAAACATGTATTATGCAAGAGCTAAATCTGTCTATTGCAGGTCTTTCTTTAGGCATGAAATGTTATCTAAACTATTAATTAGATATTAGTTAACGTATCCAGACCAAAATCAACTTTACATGGCATCGCTAGCCTGCGATTTTTAGTGGATTATGAGCCGATTTACTGCATAACTTTCGTTCACGATTTAACGATTAAATGGATAATCGAGACTATGCTGTTTATCGTACTGACTTTAGTAATGATGATCAAGGCTAGCCGGAAATTTCAACCGCTTAGGTCTCGGTTCATAGTGGATCAATTTGAATGAGATTTTCAGCAAATTGCCTTTACATTATCTAGTTTTTAATTATTATAGTGAGAACTGCCAACTCGTTATCAAATCTCCCATAATGTATCTTTAAGTTCGACAACAATATTACCTAATGTGCCGCGTCAGAAATGTATTAGTGAAATTTCATTACGGATTTCTTGAAATTAAATGATAAAGCCAAGACTATAAATCTATAATAATACAAGCGGTTGCCATGCAAGATACGCCAACATTTTGCAAGAGATGGACAGAGAACAAGCTCAAAAAAAGAAGTGATTTTTCGTACAATCAAGGGCCATTATTCAGGAAGTTACGATCCGATATGCATGAATATTGAAAGCAACCAAGATCTTTGGGTTATAAACATGCATTTCAAGTTTCATAAAAATCGGCACAAAATGGTGACCTCCAGAGGGTCAACAACCTTAACATACCAGATGTTTACCCTATTTGCGTACAAGGGGCGGCCATTTTGTCTGGTAGTTTTGGTCCGATTTTCACGGAATTCGAACTCAACCTTCATTAAAGTGTAACGGTGATATATTCAAACGGCGTTTTAAATCGGATTATAATTGTGACCTCTAGAGCGACCCCAAGCTAAAAACGCCATTTTCGTACAATCAGAGGCCATAATTCAGGAAGTTACGATCCGATATGCGCGAATATCGAAAGCAACCAAGATCTTTGGGTTATAAACATGCATTTCAAGTTTCATCAAAATCGGCACAAAATTGTGACCTCCAGAGGGTCAACAACCTTAACATACCAGATGTTTACACTATTTGCGTACAAGGGGCGGCAATTTTGTCTGGCAGTTTTGGTCCAATTTTCACGGAATTTGAACTCAACCTTCATTAAAGTGTAACGGTGATATATCCAAACGGTGTTTTAAATCGGATTATAATTGTGACCTCTAGAGCGACCCCAAGCTACAAAAGCCATTTTTCGTACAATCAGGGGCCATAATTCAGGAAGTTACGATCCGATATGCACGAATATCGAAAGCAACCAAGATCTTTGGGTTATAAACATACATTTAAAGTTTCATCAAAATCGGATTAAAATTGTGACCTCTACAGGGTCCACAACATTGATATACCATATTTTTACGACATTTGAGAACGATGGGCGGCCATTTTGTCAGTCAGTTTTGGTCCGATTTTCACGAAATTCGTACTCAACCATCCTTAGGGTGTAACGGTGATATACTAAAACGTTTTTTTTAAAATCGGATAAACATTATGACCTCTATAGGGTCCACAAGCTAAAAACGTGATTTTTCGTACAATCAGGGGCCATAAGTCAGGAAGTTATGGTCCGATATGCGCGAATATCGAAAGGAACTGGGATCTTCGGGTTATAAACATATATTTCAAGTTTAAACCAAATCGGATAAAAATTGTGACCTCTACAGTGCTCACAAGCTAAAAACGTGATTTTTCGTACAATCAAGGGCCATAATCCATGAAGTTACAGTCCGACACATGCCAATATCGAAAGGAACCGAGATCTTAGGGTGATAAACCTATATTTCAAGTTTCGTTGAAATCGGATAAGAATTGTGACCTCTAGAGTGTTCACAAACAATTGTGGACGGACGGACAGGGCAACGACAATATACGTCGTCCACATGAAAATATGGGCGTATAAAAACAAGCCGTGTGGAGTCGCTAGTGACCACAGTAACGGGTTTATAGTAATTATGATGTTCATTATTAAATGGTTCTCACCTTGTCCAGATATCCCATCTATCATAGTATTTAATGATGTTTTTATAATTACATTTGTCTACTGGTTGCTGTGCAGCTGTAACAATATGATAAAATCCAATCAGTTGATCAACATGAATTACAAAAGACACAATTCTATGGAACAGAATTGTTGTTTAATATTGAGCGACCTTTTCACTAGAATTCATATTTGGTGTCCTGCGTATTTTCATTTCAACTACTAAAAGTTATTGAAACAATTGATGAATACTTGATTAATGAACATATTTAAATAAATACAATTGGCAGTGAATAAAATTATTGCCAATATTTGGATACATATTACGAATTAAACATACACATCTTTTACAAAATCTCGTTTCTTAAAACAAACTTGAACTATTCTTATACCAAGCCCATATCATTCTCTGTAACAATGCGGGGAAATTGGAGATTGTTTTCTTGATGGAAGTCAAGCAATATCCAATGCTAATTTAAAAATGTTTTGGAGGATTTGAGAGAAATGAGTGATTAATTAAAACCTGGAAGAGTTAGTCCATCACATCTGACATCAATAGGCAGTATTATCAAGTCTCTACAAGTATGGGTCGCGGATTCAGTTTAAAAGATAATACTGAAAATTAGTGGAATGGATGTATCAACAAATAAACGTAAAATAAAACGATCCAATTTCGCATGTTTTAGAAAAATAAAGTTTAAACTAAAGAGTCACTCACCGATCTAAATAAGACATAAAACAAAACCCGAAATACCACAAATGTTACAACTTTTATTGAAACTCTATTGCCATTAAGAATCGAAATCGCGATTCACGGTGTAAGAAATACGGTTATTCCATTTGTTTTGTTTTTATTAAGCGCAAGAATCTGATATTTTATTATTTTACATATAAAGAAAAGGGGCAAATATTGTAGGTGTTCTTAACGATGAAATTTGCACGTAAATAACGATTCAATTTGCTCGTAATGACGATGCAATTTGCATGGAAATAAACGTTGACATTGTGGGGTACCAATGGCCCCAAACTAGCAGGTAGGAATTTGGCACTTGTACTTTTCGATGGAATTTCTGTCCTATAGGCGAATTTTCAATATGGGCTTGGAAAGCGCATGAATTAAAAAGGTCACTTTATCAACTTTTTTTCTATCTTATCCAAGCAAATATAATCTCTATTTCTAGGCACCGTGTATTTCATAATGGTACTTGGGTGAATTAGGGAAATTTTTAGACTTCGGATAATCGCAATCCCAGAATGTACGAACTAGGCATTACTAGAAAAGGAAATTTCTTCAAAAAGGAAATCTGCAGTCAAGGCACTTAACTGAAAAAATAATTTAACTAGGGGTCGACATTGCTAGCCTTATTGAAATGATTCTTTCCTGTGGGATTTTATTATTCTAAAGGATGTGTCACAAAAACATTGTGTCTTAAGGAAAATTGTTCACCATTTATTGAAAAACTTATCTAATATTTTTAATCTCACGAGCAGACCTCTGTTTTTCGTCACCCTCAAACTAGACGCCTATTCTTGCCTGAACGACTTATAAGGAGAAACTAGATGGTAAATCCCGAGCATTATTCTCGGCCAACACCAGGATCAGCCCCGCCCCACTCTCTATACGATGGTTAGTGAGTTTGTGTCATATTCATAATAGTAACATGCTTATATCGTTCATTTGCTTGAAACGAACATAGTTTTGACATTTAGATAACCCTAATTGGAAGGTTGTGCAGGTGATACTAAGTACAGATTGGAAGATTGTGAAATATCTCGTAAAATGTTTTTGGTAACTAATCTATTTTTCCCGATAATCTGGAGATGTGGTTCAATTGATTGATATGTACTTTAGACTTAGACTACATAAGAAAAATATCTTTAAAACACACGTATATTAAGCAAAGTCTGTTAGAAGGATTAGTGATGATGTCTTGAAACAGCGTCTGCTTGAAGAGCGTATTATTACATTTTTAAAACAGCGGTTGCGTACTAATAATTAAAAATCAATCAAGTTAAAGAATGCAGACAAGGTTTCAAGTCAGATTAGAAAGCTATCAACCATCCCTAAATTTTGAAACATACACTCTGGAATTTCATCACTTTGAACTAAATAGGGAAGTGTCGTTGTGTTGGTAAGTTTGGGAACTGCTGTGGTACTAAGCACCGTGCCCGTGCTTTGAGTTGTGCTTGGAACTTCTGATGTCGTAGGAACTATAACCGTACTATAGACCAATGCAGGTATATATACGACCGAGGTTGTAGTCGGACTTGTCGGACTTTCTGTTGTCACTGCTGAAAAAATCAGATTCTATAACACTATTCACAATATGCATTGATAATCAAATCAATTTAAATTAAATGTAGATAAAAAGCCAACATCAAACCTCTGGCCACTAATCAACTTTCTAATTTACCATTTTGTGTATTAAACCCCTGCTGAAAGTTTTAAGTTTTATACATATTGACAATGAAGCCCCAAATTGTTTCTGTTTACACTACATTAATCGAGACTACAGTACTTATTTTCAGCTTAATTGTTTTCGCCCGGAAGGTATCATGCACCCGACAGAGTTTGATTATACTTTTTAAAAGATCGGATGCTGCTTATTTGCGTTCAACGTTCTTTACTTTCAGACAATACAAGTGCTAATACACTAATCTGAACATCTACGGAGACTGAATTTGACTGCTCGTTATGATCTATGCTATCATATTGTATTACATCCATTGAACAGAGTTATCTCCAGAGTTTCCGGTGAGCATTGATACATCGATTTGTGATTGGGTTAAAGGAACTCCGGAAACGGAGCCGGTTTAAGAGCCGTTGTTATAATATATAGTAGTAAATTGTTACCTTTTAGAGTCCAATCCATAGAGTTAACCGAAGGGTCACATATTTGGTTAGCGTTAAGCGGATTTGGTTGGTTCATCTGCCAACATTTATCACCAATAAGACATGTCTCTGCCTATAAACACAAAAAGACAACAATTAATCATTTACACGACATTTGAAATTTATAGAGAAGATGAAATAATGAGCGTGGCAATGAGTATTGTATGCTTACAGGGGCTCGTTATCATTATAATTGGGTATATCTTGTACAATTCTATCAAAATCTTTTCCCCATCTGCTGCAAGAACAATAATTGTTTTATCAGAATTAGGACGGAATGTTTAAAACTTGTATGTATTTGTTTCAAACGTTTTGAAGGAAGGCCAGTGAATTTTATTATGAATCAAATAGGGCACACTTTTATCATGTAAAACAAACCTTACGACTTGCATCTGGTCAGAGTAACGGTAAAAAACTGTCAGTTAATTGAAATTCTCATATAGTAACTAGGCTATATAGGGCAATACTAACAATAAATCTAGTTTCAACCAATTCGGCCAAGTCGTAAGTGAAAAAACCCATCAACTCATGATAATAAAGCCCTGTCAGTTTCACCCAATTTAATATATAACGCCTTGCAGTTTTTTGTCTAGCAACACAATCTGTATCAGCCAATAACTCGAATCATAATGTATTGTTTTAGCTACATTCGAGCTTGTAAATACCCTTCAACATTCAAATCGTGATAATGTAAAATAGATACCTTTAAAGAGCACGTGCCATTCCTTGTACATCGATGACAGGTAGAATCATAAACAGTGTAAATTACTTCATTACTAAATCTCTGACCGTCCGTTGATACTGACAAAAAATATCTCCTCACAGACACGTCTACAATTAATTATCAATACATTTATTATCATTTCATAAGTTTAAATTGGAGTGCCAAAACAAGCCATCTATTCCATTCCTTATTATGTAAGCTACCCGTGGTTAGTATTTGTAAATAATTGTCGTATTACTAGAGGACCGAGAGTAGACACCGTGTCATTTAAAAAGTCATTTTTTCCATCCTCACACCCCTTCTTGATCCCCCTACTACTCAAGCTACCTTGAGTATTTAACTTATAATTTTATTGTCGTATCACGAGACTAAACGCCATGTATCGAGTTTGACTACGATCTAAATATAATATACTCAGCCAAATTAAAAACTTGACACTGATGAATTTCAACAAAAAATTTTTTCTGGTAAGTCAAATAAATTTTAAAGTGTTTCTAACGATAGTAAGTAGTAAGAAGCCTTTAATTTCATAAAATTGTAAAGTCACGTGGATCATGTGACTTTTGAGCATATAAAGATGAAAAACCTGAAAAACACGTGCAAACACAAACTCGTGAGGTCAATCGATGCAAGTTTGCTTAAACTGAACACGCACACGTAACTTGAACTGGAAAAACAAATTAAAATTGTTATTTTCATCTTTGTTAGAAAATGCCGCACCTTTCAAATGTAGAACGTCTACGTGCTATAGGTAGGCTCTATGCTGGTTAGTCTGTGGTCACTGTTGCAAGAGCCTTTAATTGTTCACGCCAGACAATAATTAATCTTAGAATGAGAGTGCTTCAAACTGGAACTATTGCCGACCGCCCTATGGCGGGAGCGCCACGTGTGACATCACTCCAGAAAGATCAAGCAATACGATTACGTCATCTTAGAAACAGATTTGTAACTGCAACCTCCACAAGTAGAGAGATGTTTGATGGAAGGGTAACTGCTCAAACTGTTCGAAATCGCTTGCAGGCTGCTGGTCTTCGAGCTCGGAGGCCCTATAATGGACCAATATTGACACCTCTTCATCGCGTAATCGACATGTGTGGGCCACAAGATACATAAGATTTACTCAAAGACAGTGGAATTCGGTTGTCTTTAGTGACAAATCTCGATTCACTTTGAGATTTGCAGAGTGTACTGCAGACGAGGTGAACGTTACGCTCAGAGAAGTTGACCGATTTGGTGGCGGCAGCGTCATGGTTTGGGGATCTTTTTGTGCACATGGACGTTCTCCTCTTGTTGTTGTCCAAGGGAACTTAAATGCTGTTCAGTACAGGGATCGGATTTTGCAACCTGTTCTTCTTCCGTTAATGCAGAGACATGGGCCTGGACTAACGTTTCAACAAGACAATGCTCGACCCCATACAACAATTGCTACCCAGAATTTTTTAAGAAATGCCGGTGTCCAAGTCCTGGATTGGCCGTCGCTTAGCCCCGACCTTAATCCTATTGAACACATCTGGGACGAACTGGGTCGACGTGTTCGTCAGCAAGTGAATCCACCACTGACGTTGCAGGACCTTCAACATGCTCTTGCTGAGCAGTGGCGACGTCTTTCTCGGGTAGTTTTTACTAATGTTCTGAGATCCATGAGAAGACGTTGTGTGGCAGTACGAGACGCTAGAGGCCACAACCGTTACTAAACACTTTATTCCGATTGTTCTCCAAGTCTGTGAATTTCATTTTTGGGGGTACTGTGACATCACGAACGTTATCAATGTCAAGGACTTTCGGCGAGACGTATTCTTGCTTTCTGCTGATGTCAAGGTCGTATTTGCACAACATAACACTAAAATAGTTGCCTTAAACCAAATATTAAAAATCTAGTCCCAAAAATCCCGAGTGTCAAGTTTTTAATTTGGCTGAGTATATTTACAGGTTTTTTTTATTTCGGCTTCAAATGTTATATAAATTATTATTTAGACATTTATTCACATGGCAAACCTATAATCAACTCTCTAGATCATCGTATGGCGCCGATGTAAACTGATTAAAATGCGATCGCCATTTAAAGATTTAATTTAAAAGTAATGAAATGAAATGAAATGGGGTTTAATGTCCTACTGTTTTGCTCCTAAACTGGGCTAATGAAGACGGTGTTCTATGAGGGAAATTTTGCCAGGGCAGCGGCGCTACGGCCTACTCTTATATCGAATTCCAACTGCCAAGGGATCTTTTACGTGCACGCCAATTTGTACACGGGACCTCGGTTTTTCGTCTCATCCGAACGACCAGGCAGCTGTCCTTGTCAGGCCCTCCGTCCTGCATCACTGACAAGGGGAAACCACGCCGGAAAATCTGGATGAACTTTCTCGGCTAATGCAGGGATCGAACACTCGACCTCCAGGCTAGCGAGCCAGCGTCTTACCCACTTAGCCACGTGATCCCCCAAAAGTGAAGAAGTGAGGCTGAGTCTCGATCAACAAATAACGTCCCTCAGAATAAAGTAATGTCAATGAAATTTTCAATATATTAATTTTGAATTATCTATTTTGAGACTATTATAGCAAGAACGGTCAGCACTTTATCTAAATCTTATATAATGCATCTTTAAAGGGGACTTATCACGTTGACGAAGAAAATACATTTAGTTAATGATCAACTATATTAGCATACTATTTATAATAATTTATTTATTCTGTACAGGCCAGGTTTGTAATAAATCTTTTATTTTGTAAAAACAGTGGGTTATTTAAAAAAAAAATGAACGTTTATTACAGTTTATGCAATCAGTTTTGTATTAAACGGTCGAATTTGTAATCATTTTGTTATTTAGGTTTTTTTATTTTGAGTTATTCAGTACATATAGAGAATAAAGTAACAAAAAACGAGGCTCTGCCGAGTTTTTTTTTACTTTATCAACGAGTGTTGATATTTTTTGATATCAAAAAAGACGAGTAGGAGATTTTATTTATCACCCAATCCCTTCTTACATGTACAAATAGATAAATATAATTCTTTGCTGTAGATTTCACTTTTACTGAACATTACGGCGTAGTGATACATCATTGTTTGACAGCAATTCAACCATTGCAAAGTCCTTTATATTGACCCAGTGTTTCCATCAAGGTCAATTGAATAACAATAGTTCATTTGTAATTTAAAAAAGTTATTTTTAATAAGAAATGAACTGTTCTTTGAAAATAAAAATAAGTAGTTCCTTTTCAACTGACCAATCAAATTCATGTAAAGCGATATTTCCTAAGGAGATATCGCAGTAGATTATGAAATATATCACAAAAGCGATATCTACTGTAGAATGTATTATTGGGTGATAAATTTCAATATCAATATTCTTTTTTATTATCTGTTTAATTTTGTTGTAGGTAACACTCCCTGGCTAAATCACAATCCGTGCATTACTCAACTCGGTATAGCTCACCTTTCGAAACTTGAGAATCCAAAAGATGACAAATGACTTCTCTATTACTCTGAAATTCGACAGGAACCGTCACTCTGATTCCTTGTGGTCTATGGACACTGTTGACTTCCTTGTAAATTAAAAGTAAAGCTGTATAAATCTCTTTATATAGATAAAAAGAATGAAAATATTGAAGTTACATAAGAGATTGTAGTATGTGAGTTTTGTAGTTCAAAGTTAAATTATTTTTATATTGTTTCTTGACGTAATAATTCGCTGTAAATATTCGGAAATAACAACCTAAACAACTCCTTTAAACTTAGCTGCATTTAGTCCGACATGGCAGTGGCTGTCATTTTCGTATAACTAAAAAAAAGAGCCACAGGAAAGAATCACACTTACTTCAACTTCCCGTAATTGACAAATCGTATCAGGGGTTTCCATAAAATTGTCAACGATGAGGATAGCAACACCGCATGGTCTCTGATCCACATCACAAATCCCATAACTAAGGTAATCAAAACGAACTAGTATAATTAGAGATATTCATATACAATAGAACAGATACGATTACTTTTATATTTCATATCGTTAGAAGATGAATAACAAAATATCCAACAAAAGCGGATTAAATGTATGATATCGGTTCGCCGATATGTCACTAACGCTAATGATTCAAAATCGAAATTATATAATGGTCTACATCTAGTTTCTCTTGGCTACAAAAAAAATGAACGTGATCTATTATATCTATCAGAAACACAATAGATGAATGCATGAATGAAATGCGGTTTAATGTCCTACTATTCTGCAACAACCGGGTTAACGAAGATTTGCCCTGACAGCACATAATGAGATCAGTTTAATCCAGTTCTATTACTTGATGTCTTTTACATATTGAATTAACTTCTGCATTCATTTTCGGACATTTTATTTAAATAACATTTTAAACGGGGATGGGGGTGGTGGCGAATGATGTAACGCGTGTGCTTTCGATTACAAGGTCTGTGATTGAATCAAGTTGCATTGTTTCGATCCCACACAAGGAGTAGGATCGCTTGCTTAGTAGCCTCCTTTTTTTTCTCCAGGTACTCCAGCACCCCCACCCCCACTACTAAGGGAATGTTAACACCTCCCTCTACCCTCTCTAACCATACATTTTCGTATACAAAAGAAGACATACCCATTAATATAAATAACTTTTGGAGGACGACTGCTCTCCACAGAACAGTCATCACCGGCATAACCCGGATTACATCTGCAAATTCCATCACCGCACCGTCCTCTCAGACTACACTGGTTAGGACACATTAATGTTGTGACTGCCTCTGGTGGAACACGACGTCCGATACCATCTTGTTTATAGCTTGATATATTTCTAAGAATAGCCTCCTGACAGGCTACTTCAAATGCTGCAACCATACCTCTTACGAAGAAATCATTTCCGGTTAGCTGAAAGGTTTACAAGCAATTGAGACTGTCATTTATTTTGCTTTGGCATTTCTATTCATGTTGTGATGGCTATAATAGTATACTATGCATAATATTCTAGAGAATATTATTACATAGTATTGCATGACAAGGAATAGGGTCGCTTGCATTAACCTGCGTAAAGGTTACTGCTGGGTCTTTAAATAGTCGGTTCATTTAAGCTCGTCTTCACATGTAAAGCACAAATAGGGCAGAAAATTAAGTTTACTTAATATAGTAAATAATATAGTAATGTATGGGAGGTTCAAACCAGTGTATATTTGAGTGTCAGGCCGGTGTATATCTGAAGTATACATGTAAGTCGGTGTATATTTGAACCAGTGTATATTTGAAGTTAAAACGGGTGTATATTTAAGGTTCAAGCCGGTGTATATTGGGGGTTCAAGTCTGTATATGTTTCAGGTTTAAACAGGCGTATGTTTGAGGTTTAAGACGCTATGTGCATTTGAAGTTCAAACCGGTGTATATTTAAGGTTCAAGCCGGAGTATGTTTTAGGCTCAAATCGGTCTATATTTGAGGTTCAAGACGACATAATATATTTGAAGTTTAAGCCGTTGTTTATTTAAGGTTTAAGTCGGTGAATATTTGAGGTTCAAGCCAGTGTATATTTGAAGTTCAAGCCTGTGTATACTTGAAGTTCAAGCCTGTGTATACCTGAAGTTCAGACCGATGTATACTTGAAGTTCAGGCCAGTGTACACTTTAGGTTCAAATCGGGATATTATAATCTACAGTCAATAACAAAAGTTTAGGGACACCTTGTGAAATTGCCTAAATTTTGACAATTTTCATTCAATCGAAGAATTCTAAGAGCTCGTTTCTCCTAGTGGAATAAAACTTCGTATATGCGATCTAGAATATGCGCCGTCAACTGACTTGACGTTTCATACGACGACGACGTCGCGGTTGATGACTTCACAGCACAATCATGACGTCATCGACCAATTTGCGTAATTTGTCCAATTCGAGTGAATTCGTTCACTGTTTGTAGGAAGATACGAAGGGATGAGAACGATATATGGTATGTTGTAGATACAACATGCAAGTGACAGTATGCTAGGATATGTCAGCGTCACATTATGATGTTCAAGGGTCGATTGTGATGTCATAAAAAATGCTTGCGTTGCAACTATTTTTAGATGAACCATGACATTTCTAAAGGCCTACTCATGCCCAGACTCGTATCCCACTATGAAATAATCAGATAATAAAGAAAAGGTCATGCCTTTTTTCAATGAAAATAGGGCTTGGTTTACTCATAGATAATACAGTATGATTGCCGACTCGTCTTTAGCCCTTTACGTGATGTTGCGTTCTGGTTCGTGCGCATATTTTTTTGCGCAGGGGGGGTGTTTACTTCCGGTCTAGCTTTCGACAGTACGTACGCACAGTGACACGCGAAATTGACATTTTTGAAACTTACGTTTATGAAATTAATCAAATGAACACGTATATAAAAATTATATGAAAAAAAAGAACAAGATATCTCCTTCCAAAATATTTTTAGATTATTGCAAAAGATTAAATAGCTACTGTGTGACGTTAAGTTGAAAAAAGGTTACAAATGGGCAAAAAATGCCTTTCTTCATTCATGAATCATGTACCGTACCAATTTACACTAAAATTAGGAAATATTTTTGATATAGAGATAATACTTCAAACACCTTTATTTTTATTTTTCTAATACTTCAAAAAAAATGTTCTACAATTTAATTTGCAGAAGGAAAAAGGTTATATTGCGAGCTAACTAACCCAAACCTCTGTGCCACACAGAGGCCTACGGTATAGGCCTATCTATAGTATGATTAATAAAATTAGATGTTGCATTTTATTATCAATTGCATGGTATATTAGAACAGTTTTAAAAATCTTGTTTATATTCAAATATGCATTTTTTTTAATAAATTCAGCTTTGTTTGTATACTTTAGTTGATAAAGATGTAAATATCCCTACAAAATTCTTTTCCAATCTAGGCCTAATTAATAATTTTAGAAAATGGCCATTTATTTATTTTAAGTCCCTCTGTCATTTAATTTAGTTAATTTTATAAATGCAGACCCCCCCCCCCCCAAAAAAAAAAAAAAAAAAAAAAATACACACATACTTTTTTTTCAGCTTGAACAACTGGAAAAACGTTTACTTATATAAATCCACCCCAATGTAAGCAATTATTTCATAGTCTTTTTGATCTAGGCTTTGTTGAGAAATTAAATTAGCTTCAGTAGATATAACAATTATATATAAGGAAAAAAAAACACTATTAGTATTAAATAAAAAAGGAATTATTGCTTTAGTTATCAATGAAAAGGAATTTTTGTTCTAAAATAGATTCTTCCAGGAATCCTGTACATTAAAAGATTTACAAGAGTTGATAAAGGCAACTTCATCCTTGATATCTGATATTTCAATGTTGGCCACACCAATTTGATTTCCTGTTCTTCGGGCTTCGATATAAAAATAAATAGCTAATTAAATCACGTGAAAGATGTTTTGTTTAAAAAATTGGAACTATAAGCTTTTGAACAGTACAGCCAAGTACTTTGGGTGTTTAAATAGATGTATGTATTTTTCCAGAAGAACCAAATAAATAAATATAATGAACGTCCATTTCTATAGCGCCAAAATTCCGCAAAAATTGTGTTCATAGCGCTTGGCAAAACATACCTACACGAAGTCTTTAACTCTATGTTATCACTTGTTTGTAACAGATGAGTTTTTAAAAATTGTAAGGCACTACATTTATCTCATCATATTGTTTATATGAATATATGATTACGGTATCCAATATCATTCATGTCATTAACATTTAACTTGTTTGCATACTTGACAAATTAGCCTATAGATCTAGTCAAATTTTTTTACAGAGTTACTTAGTGTAACCGGGGTAATTAACAAGACTGTTTTGTTAGGGTTTTTTTTAAAAAAAAAAAATTAAAACACGTCATCCAAGCGAGAACCAAAATATATTTCTTTATGTCCTAAATTAAAAATAAAACAATAACAATAGACATAAATTTGATGGGGAATTATGTAAGATTTAGATAAAGAGCTGGTCGTTCTCGTTATTAACTATAACATTTCAAAAATAGATAATGCAAATTGAGTATATTGAAAATTTACCACCATACCGTTCTAATCTATTTAAAATCTGAGCAATCAGATGGCATCGAGAGTTGATTATGGTCTTTTCATGTTAATAAATGTCTAATTGATAATTTACATAACATTAAGGCCCAAAGAAAGACCTGCAATAAGCAGATTTAGCTCTTACATCATGCCTGTTTAACATTTAAAAACGCATCTTTAATTAACAATACTTTTATGATAAATTAATAAATGTATTATTAAATAAAGCGATCAGACAATGTTAATGTTACATAATTGGATGAATAATTATAGGCACCTTATTAGATTGAAATACCAACTCTTTCTTCCTCAACTGATAAGATTAAATTATTTAAATCAAAAAATGCAATAGCCTAATATTATTGTTAAGATTAACTTATTTAATTGAAACAAAAATTGTAGGTTATATTTTTAATGATTAATTTAATTACATGGAACAGTAAACCCATATCCTTAAATATCGACCGGCAGCTATTTTTAAATATTAATTTTTCTCCAGAACCGTGTTATTTCCTGAAAAGCCATACATCTCAGCATTGTAACAAAACCAACCTTATCAATATCGGAGCAAAATTGACTGAATTCTGTAACACCAACTGGCAGATCCCTTTTTCGCGAAAATTGGTCATTTGGCTTCAATTCTCAACCTATTTAACCATCAACATAACCATACAAACACATTACACATAGCTTGAATGGTTTATTTTCTGATGTTTGAAATACATAAAATTAAATAATTATGCTTAATTCAACTATACAAAATTAAAATCAATAATGATATAATACAATCAAACAATTTAAACCAAATCCCTTGTTGAGTATTAAAATAAAACAAATAAAATAATGAAAATAATAATATCCCCCCCTCCCCCCCAAAAAAATGATATGAAAAGAAGTAAATAACATAAATAAAACATACAATTATTTATCAGTATCACAATAAATCAACATGAAATATATTTGCTTCACAAGCTGGCACTCCCCTAGGCCCCTAGGTAGCAAACAAAAGACGGGTACCAGTACGTTCTGCTGAAAATACAAAAGATTTTTAAAAAATTGTGTAATTAAAAGCTTATATATAGCCAACACAGCAATGTTATTATTCATACCAAACTGTATTTTATATATTTACGATTTATTAATGATCTGCAAGTATTATTTTACAATTAATGAATTGAAAACTCTATTTTGCCGATTTTTAAAAGTAGGTCAAAGCCGTCAAACTTTGCCTTAACTGGACAACACACGTGTCGAGATTTTCATGAAATGTAATACTTATTTATAATACAATATAATATCAAAATTATAAGATATTCATTTTTATTCTTACCTCGAACATTGCTTCTATTTCTCGTTACCATTTAACCAGATGATGCCACATTTAATACTACAAGAAAGCGCTAAATAAAAATATCGCTACTGGGCCTATAGTAAACAAACAGCGAGAACAGAAGACCGGAAGTGACCAACCACCTTTCTCGCCGTTTCACGCGTTTCGCAACATAACGTCGAGAATTCACGAGTCGGCAATCATACGGTATTATCTATGGTTTACATTAATCCAAAATACTTGTCATAAACATCGTTTCTGAAGTGAGTTATTATCCTTTTTTTAATCTGAAACACATTACGTATTAACATTTTTGATGACTTCACATTCGACCCTTGGATGTCATAATGTGACGCTGACATATCCCAGCATACTGTCACATGCATGTTGTATCCACAACATATCGACAACATATCATATATAGTTCTCCGTTCTCATCCGTTCGTGTCATCCTACAAACAGTGAACGAATTCACTCAAATTGGCCATATTATGCAGGTTGGTCGATGACGTCATAACCGTGCTGTGACGTCATCAACCCGACGTCGTCGTATGAAACATCAGTGTCAGTTGGCGGCGCATATCCTAGATCGTATATACGAAGTTTCATTCCACTAGGACAATCGAGCTCTTAGAATTCTTCGATTGAATCAAAATTGTCAAAATTGAGGCAATTTCACAAGGTGTCCCTAAACTTTTGTTATAGACTGTAGAAGAGCAACAACTTACCATTGTATCTTGCACGCATGATGATATAAATCCATCCAGATGAAGATTGAGTGTAGTAGCACAATCAACGCCCAATGTAATATTTATAATACTATTTCTACAGATAACTCGGGCATCAGATTCTGTTAAACTCACGGTAGGTAACCCTCCACCCATCACATTCAAAACTAAAACGAGAACAATGATCGGTAGCTAAATCAAACTAGCTAGACCGCTTCGATTTAAGTAAAATAAATAGATTTTATTGGGTTTTATTGGATTTTATTTGTTGATGTCTTATGTGGTATGCCAATATTGAGATAAAAGCAATTTTATTTCTCACCATCGACACAGTAAAGCAAAATTAAAATTAGTTAACAAGCCAATTTCTGCTTATTCTTTCGAAAAGCAAAAAAAATATTCGTGCATTGCTTGCCCCCAAAACACACACATCTATATACCCAATTCAATCGTATACTATGAACGAAATAAAACATGTGTATCCCTTTTAACATCAAATAAATGGGGTTTAACTAACTACTTTTCTGCTCCACTCGGGCTAAGGTAGCCCGGCATACGCAATGTAGTGTGCTATGAGAAAAAAATTTCCCGGATTGCGCTACGGCTTGCTCTTATTTCAAATTTGAACTGCCAAGAGTACTTTTACTGGCACCCCAATGTGTAGATTGTAGGCCCACACTGGGACTCGCTTTTTCGTCCCATTCAAACGTATTATTCAGTGCAAAGGGCTCATTACATTCTCGTCCATTTCCTCTGGTTGACGGAACTTCTGTTTTGACGTCATGAGATTCGGTTGTTACTGCTATGGTTATATCCATATAGTTGGTTATTGTCTGTAAATAAAACCATAGTTAAATCTTATAATGTGCTGGGTTTAAGGATCAAGTCGTGGTCCGGCTTCTAGGAAGAACAACCACGACGTCCTGAGATGTGACTCACATGTGATAAAATAGGTTGACGAGAATTCTAAAATAATTTCAAAATAAACATCTTTGACTTTGATGTCACTTTTCCTTATTCTACCCACATATTCCAAGTGTGACGTAGAGATAGGAGATCGGTTATTTATATTGACTGAGGGCGGTAACAGCTACAACCAGTGGCTGTAAGGTAGGATACGCCCACATTTTGCTAAAAATAAATGCGATTTTTTGTACAATCAGGGGCAATAATCCAGAAAGTTGGGGTCTGAAACGCGCAAATATCAAAAGGGACTGAGATCTTTGGGATATAAAGTTTCACCAAAATCGGATAAAAATTGTGACCTCTAGAGGGTCCACAACCTTCGTATTACATACTTTTACACAATTTGTGTACAAAAAGCGACCATTTTGTTGGACAGTTTCATTTCAATTTTCCCGAAATTCGAATTCAACCTTTATTATGGTGGAATGGTGATATATTTAAACGGTTTTTAAAATCGGGAAAAAAATTGTGACCTCTAGAAATCCGCAGGCCATAATCCAGAAGTTACGTTCGGATACGCACGATTATCAAAAGGAACCAAGATCTTAGTGTGTAACGGGGATATATTCACACGTTTTTTTGTTTGTTTTTAAATCGGATAAAAATTGTGACCATATTTTTACGCTATTTGAGAACGAACGGCGGCCATTTTGTCTGTCAATTTTGGGCCGATTTTCACGAAATTCGAACTCAGTCATCCTTAGGGTGTAACGGTGATATAATTATACGGTTTTTTAAATCGGATAAAAATTATGACCTCTATAGGGTCCACAAGCTAAAAACGTGATTTTTCGTACAATCAGGGGCCATAATTCATGAAGTTACATTCCGATATGCGCGAATATCGAAATGAACCGAGATCTTTGGGTTATCAACTTACATTTCAAGTTTCAACAAAATCGGATAAAAATTGTGACCTCTATAGTGTCCACAGGCTAAAACGTGATTTTTCGTACAAACAGGGGCCATAATCCATGAAGTTTCGATCTGATACATGCCAATATCGAAAGCAACCGAGATCTTTTGGAGATAAACCTATATTTCAAGTTTCGTCAAAATCGGATAAGAATTGTGACCTGTAGAGTGTCCACAAACAAATTGTGGACGGACGGACGTCCGGACGTCCAGACGTCCAGGGGCGACGACAATATACGTCCACATGAAAATGTGGGCGTATAAAAATAACATTAATTATACCAAGGTATTAGGATCCTGTATAGCCTTAGCTGTTGCACATTCTGCAAGATTTGATGACGTTTTACACATACATTGATATGGCTGAAGCACGGGTCTGGATAATGTGGTTGTCGCTATTCTTTGAAATTGACCTGTGAATAAACTTTGTTCAGTTGGTATTCTGAAAACAAATACAAAAAAGTAAATTTCCACACTCTAGTCTGATCGGGTAAAAAGGAAAAATGTAACAAACGGCCAAAGTGGTGTGTCTGGTATTAGTTTAATATCATATCTATATTTTTTTTTTTTTAAAAAAAGAAACATTAATTTATGATTTATTTGTTTACATAAAGTGCGCGCGAGGGCGTACATAAAGATTTTGTTTGGGGAGGTGTTCAGCAAAAATGCGACCGACTGATGCCCATGTCTCTAATATTACGAGTGACGCAGTCAGGGGCCGAGCACCACAGATGATAGTTTTCTAGGGGCCAGTAGCTGAACTGGAAGCTGGGAAGAGGGGTGGGGTGATGCGGTTCCAAATCTAGGGCGCCATCCACAATCCCACCCCACACTGAATGTCAACAAAATACTGGTAATAATATTGGGCGTCCTGGTAGAACATAGATCGTATGGCCTATAGTTGTCCGCCGATCGTTATCTCGTCGGAAAGCAGTTTTATTCAAGTTTTCTAGGGGCCAGTTGCTGAACTGGAAGCTGGGAAGAGGGGTGGGGTGATGCGGTTCCAAATCTAGGGCGCCATCCACAATCCCACCACACTGAATGTCAACAAAATACTGGCTGCTATAACACTGGGCGTCCTGGTAGAACATAGATCGTATGGCCTATAGTTGTCCGCCGATCGTTATCTCGTCGGAAAGCAGTTTTATTCAAGTTGACATAAAGTTCATGTCATATAATATGATGATTGTTATTGATTTTGTAATTAAATTTATGTGAACATTAGGGGCAGTGGCTAAAACACTGAGCAACCTGAGAAAATTTTTAAGAATTGAACCAATGATCATTGCTGGGAGCAAATTCTTGTGAACAAGAAAACCAGTAATATGAGTCAATGGGACATAATCTTGAAATCTGCCCCGGTCAATTCCGCCTGTTTTGCCAGAGTTGTCAGAACATTAATTGTACAGTCTGACGCCCCACGACCCACGCACCAGTGGTACTACTAACTGGACAGTTCGCTATAGCCGTGAATATGACAGTGCTGGGGCAGTATAAGACCACAGAGGAGTGGAAAAATGATGCCATAATGGAATCTAGTGGCGCAGGCGCGAATAAATTTCAGATATGTTACTGACCTTTTAATTTTTTGGGACTGGGCCTGAAAAATTATAGTCAATGGCATGACAAATGGGATCAAATTCTCCTTAATGAGAGGATAAGAAATGGGACAGAATCTTGAGACCCGTCCGTCAATTTCGCCTGTTTTGTGAGAGTAGAAATAACAATTCTACAGTCGGTCGCACCACTCGCTAGTGGTATAACTGGGCGATTCACTGTAACTGTGAATATGAAAGTGATGAGATTGTATAAGACTGAGGAGTTGAAGAATAATGACACAATAGAATTGAGCGCGGGGGCGCGAAACAAATTTAGATTATGTAACTGGGCTTGTAGTTTTTTGGGACTGGGCCTGAGGGGACTTTGTCTCACGGGGGCGCTTACTTGGTCTCTGAAATGCCATTTACTGGACTTTGGGATGTGGGGAAAGGTTTTGCAGAATTCTGATGGTCAGAAAATACTTACAACATAGTTAAAATACGTTTTAATTTCTACTGTGATTAAATATGCAACAATTAAAAATTCTTTTAAGAATTTCATATCGCCTTAACATTTCATAATTTAAAGATTGTTTACGTATTTCTGAAACAAACTATGTTTGCGATTAATGTTATTCGTATGACAATCAATAATATAATTTAATTTATCAAAATCTTCGTAACAAGCTCTCTCAATTTCTTAGACCAGCATACTCATAACAGAGATTTTTTTTATTTTGAGACCGACTATGTGACGTAAGAAGTTTAGGTGCACGTATATTAAGTATTTGAGGTTTTCACTTATAACTTATGCTGTAGTGGTTTTTATCGGTTAGTGCACTCAACATTTATCAATATGACAGCGTGGTTTATCTTCTTTTTGTGCGATTCGTGATTTTAAATATCTAATCCTTCAAAATCAGACGATTTTACCCCGACACCACGACAACCCATATTCTTGAAGCATTGGCCCGAGAAATCCCTCTGGTCATTGCTGGATTGGCTTCTGACACTTGAGCTTTTGAGGGAGTGTGTCTATTCTTCCCGTTCAATCAAATATACCACAAATACGGCAACATGGCAGCCCTTCGTTTAATCTGGAGTTTTCCAGTGATTTAAGGTATTAAAAACGGTGAAAGTGTTGTTCGTCTCCAAACAGTATTGTTTACATTGTATTCGTTTTGATAGCCTCGTTTGTCACGCAATTAGTTTTTCTGCAATATTTTGCTATGCACTGGTTAATTGGGCACAATAAATCGTGAGTCATTAAACAACGTTATGTAAACATTTGGTCCAGTAGGACGTTAAAACCCATTTCATTTCATTTTATTTTCCAACTTTTCTGCACCAGTCGGACTATCAAAGATAGGCATACGCTAGTCAGTGTGTTATGACGGAATTTTTCAATGGACAATGACATTTCTTCATCGAATTCCAAATGTGAAGGGTTCTTTTATGTGCACGCCAATGTGTACACAGGATCTTGTGTTTTTGTCCCATCTGCACAACAAGACACTATTTGCAAGACCGTTCGTCTTGCACTACCGACAGGGAGAAACCAGGATCAGTAGTGTACATAACCATGCTGTATATTGAGAGGAAGATGGTCGACAACTCGACAATACGACTCTTTTACGCGACATTACGACATTTTTAATGTTGTGGTGTCGGTTGAAAACGTCGTATTGTCGGGTTAAAATGTCGGGTAGACGGGTTGTCGCCTTATGAAGGGCGACACCACAACATTACGACATGATACCAATCAGCCACCATAAGAACTAGTTCTCAGAAATGTGAAAAGGGAAGTCATTTTAAATATGTAAAAACGAATAAAATAAACTTTTCATTACGATTAAGTAGGGCAGATTATACACCAAAATCTTAATTTCAGTTTTACTTTGATTGCCCCCCCCCCCACCCGCCCGCCCGCCCGCCCGCCTGCCTGCCTGCCTGCCTGCCTTTAAATGGATTCCCAAGGTCTCCGCCCCCTTAGCCCCCCCCCCCCTCCATTTTACCCCATATCACCCCGAGGTCGGAAATCTGCATGTTTTAATATTTATGTATATGAACAGACAAGTCAGTATTATGTGAATATATCGGTAGTATATTACCTCCAAGATCTCATGAAATCTACAGGAATATCAGAATCCGCAAATATCATACCATTAGGAGAGATAAATTCATTTCTTTTATTGTTATCAAAGGTTCCACAAATACCTTCTAGTGCACCATAGTCTCTAGATGTAGCTTGTACCTCTACATTTAAATAAGCTCGAAAATCCTTTACTCTCAACCAATTACCAGATTCAAAGGTTATCTGAAACGGTATAATTCTTACAATTTGATAAAGAAGGGCTAGGGTTTTTGCCAACGTTTGTAAATGAAGCCAATACCATATTCCAAGTAAGATTATTATTTCAATTTACTCCGGTCCTGGGGTAAATACTCTAACGAATGCTTGGACCCGGGGCAAATTTGAATTATCCAGTCTAAACATAAATTGATAGACCGTATTCTCTTTAAATAGTCACAGAACTAGTGTGAAAAAGGCTAAGACATAAGCTTTAATAATAAGTGCAGGAGGCCCGCACTACACGCAAAATAAAACCGACAAGACAACCCTGCAAACGAGACAAACTACATAGACATTGCAAGAAATGAACAACAAATATGAAATTAAGTGAATGGATCCGGGAGTCAGTCGAAAGCGCCCACTGCGCTGTACAGTCCCGGGTCTCTAATGATACAGAATTCACTGAAAATAATCAAAAACCAATATGATTTACAAGAAAGACTAACAGAAATAATGCGACCGATCTTGACGGTGGTCGTCTCTTGAATGGCGATAGTCTGCCAGTTGACGTCACGAGTTAGAACGTCAAACAATAAGGGCGATAATCCGGATAGAATCTCCAAAAACGCTAAAATAATAAAGTGTGGTGAGCAAACAGGAGCAAAGCCCAACAACGAGAACATTCGGCAGTACCAAGGGCTAAAACTCTACTCTAATAGTAAGTGCAGGAGGACTGCACTACATGCAAAACAAAACCGACAAGACAAACATATCAAATTAAGTTAAGGCCCGGTCCCAGTGGCCGATGGACACAAAACGTATGCAAAAAGGACACAGCGGACGAGCAAACTTTCGGGGGTGGCTCCATCAGATTTCATCCGCTCCAGAAATGGACAAAATTGACGAAAACAGAACGGAAAAGAACGAACGTGGGAAGTATGTAGCGGGGATGTTAAATGGATGTTCATCAGAAGCCTAGCGGATGAAAGCGGATGGAAGTGGATGACAGCTCCGGCAAACTCCAGACATCCTTCAATATACCAGATACATCCCAGATATAAACGCTTTGTCCGTTTTGATAACTTTATATACGAGATACATACGCTTACATCCTTTCTATTTCCGTGCTACTAACGATGTATAGACGTTCCATGTACCTTATCTTTCCTCCCTCTTTCCGTTTTCAGCTGGAGTGGATGTGAGTTGCGAGGATGCCCAGAGGATGCAGATATGATACAGTGGACGTTTAAAGGATGATAACGGACATGGAACGTTTTTATGCTCGTATATGTCGCGCATTTACATCGTACACGGCAGAAAGTTCATCCGTTATAAAAGTTTTGGGCAGCTCAAAACTTTTTGCGCGGATGAAATCAAAGTGAACGGATGCTCGATGGATAGAGCGTATGAAACACGTATGCAATGAGTACACAGCGGATGCATAGCGTTTTCAAACGGAGGGCGCGTTTTTTCCCCCCGTTTTACATCCTCTTTGCATCCGTAAGTGCAGTGGGACCTGGCCTTTAAGTGAATTGATCCGGGGCCCAGCCCTAAGCATCTACTACGCTGTACAGTCCCGGGCCTGTAATGATACAAACTTCACTCATTCGGGAAATGAATAGTTGTAACATCGACCTTAGTATAACGTTTTTAGTTTAGAAAATATATTTTTTTAATTTATTCAAAAAGATTTTCTTTAAAGAGTCGTTATCTTTTTCTTGAAGAAAATAACCCTAATTAATGTTGTATAATAGAAGTTTATTCAAAACAGCCATTGGTTTAAAGCTGTTGGACGCCCGTAACTAAATTTTAAAAAAAATTAAATTGATTTGATCGTCGCCGTTATTGAATTCAAAATGACTGCACATTACCTCGATCTAACTTGATCTTTCAATGGGAACACATCGACCCGAAGATAATACCTGGTTGATATCATCACAAATCCGGCCACCAAAAATGACTGAAACTAAACTGACTCCTGGAAAAGCTCCATTTGGTACCCGGGTTTGTGTAAATTATGTACCCGCTTTGTAATGGCCATGGAAATTGTCGTAAAATTATCGTTATTTAAAGTACCGTACGAAAAATAATTAAGTTGAAACTTGGATACGTAAAACGAATCCGCCCCAACCCCCTGTGGGACCAGGTAAGCGGCACGATGAATCTAGACATCCAAAATATAAGATCTTATATACTCATATCTTCCAGCGCACACGGGACTTTTCGCTCACTATCGTGTTTATCATTCCGCCACACTGACCAACCGTTAAAGGCTCAATACCACTCGTGTTGTAGGCTAACTTAATAATATGTCCTAATCTCTATTCTGGTCAACAAATTGTACCCTTTTACAATATTCCAATTAATTGATGATACAAATTTCATCTTAACACACCTAATTTAAAAAATTGGAAAAATTCAACTAAATGATTTGAAAAGCCTGACGTAAAGCTTTTCAAATGTGACTTGGATTTAAAAATATTTTTGAACCATTTGGACAAGTAAAATAGGATTTAATGGATAATTTACACAACAGGTAGGACACTAACATATCTAGTACTTAGAATAAGGCTATTTTTTATTTTCTGGAGCTGTCAAGCCAGCAAGAGTGTTATTGTCCCTTTAAAAACGTTCACAGCCCACTGATTTCTGCGTAAGGTATTTATGGCCATGGCATTGATAGTAGTTCAGCTCTGAACGTAGATCTCATTACACTCGCCCTGTAAGTTCAGAAACCGTCCTTTTGAATCCTTGTCGAAAATAAACTCGGCCCCAGTCAGTTTTACTGGGCAACTTTTTACTGCTAAACGGCCGTGTGTCAGTCTCCGTGAACGCCTGAACAATGTAAAGGAACATTTCCGTGTGAAAATAATACCTTGCTTACTTCGCTAGTGTCAGTATGTGCAACACATGTTGTTATTTTTAAAAAAAATACGTCCCCTTCTGCTAACGGCTTGGCAGACGCCATTGAAATCTAAATATAGGGTACGCACAAATTTACGTAACTCGGTCGTATAAGACGAAACGAAATTTAGGGTAATAGGGTAATATTTATCTCATAACAAAATAAATAACAATTATGTAAACTTAAATAAAATTACTTTCCAGCGAGATAAAGATCGGCGAATAAATATAATAGGCAATACGAAATATGTTCTACCGGGGGCGCTCAGTGTAATTTTATGCATTTTACGTGTTTTGTTGACAGTCATTGTGATGTGGGATTGTGGATGGTGCCCTACATTTGATCAGTCACTGGACAGATCACAAGCACAGGTTAAAAATGTAACATTTATCACAATAGTGTTAAAAAAAACATCCATCATGTTAACTGTATGCGAATGAAAATGGGTGAAAATATTCCGATAACCTTGTAAATTCGTCGTATGCGCATCAATGTTACAAAATGTATTCAGACACGGAAGGAAAATAACTCTTGATTTTTTTTTCTGTGTCCAGACTAGTAATTCTCTCCTATTCATGTATTGACATAAATGTTAAATCCGTAATATTTCTTGGCCTATATAGAGCAGGAGCCCAGGGGGTTAACCTAGAGCTGAAAAGTGTACCAATGTTCTCCTATATGGTATCAATGTATGTATATCTGGTATCATCAGAATGTAAGTCTGCCGGGTTTCTGGTGGTGGGTGTGGTATTCCACGCCCAAAATGCCATGCCCCCAACTAGTCTAGATTAGCTCAAAAGTGTACCACATGAAAATCGCACAGCAATATACCGTACATCTTCAGGTATTACAAAAACTCTCTGACAGACATTTCTAGTGGTGGGGTACCCCTGACAGAGCTATGTAATTGCCAGAAATTTGTAGTGATGGAGTATCCCTGACAAGAGTTATCTAATTTCCAGACCAAAGCTAGGCTAGATTAGCTCAAATCTGTACCACCTAAAACAGCTTTGGAGTTGTTCAGTACCACCACAGGAATCATGAATGACCACTGCCAGACATTTTGTGCGGTGGGTTCCCCCTAACAGACACGCCCAAAATAACACCCCCCCCCCCCAACTAGGATAGATTAGTCGGCACTGTTCCTGTGGTCCAAAAAATTAAAAATTGTGCCAGGATGGGTAGAATACTAATACCTAGCACATATGGAAGAGGCGATAAACTGCGGTTGTAGGAACAATTTTATTTTTCAAAAAGCGCATTTTTAACCCCATAAAATGTTTTTTGCCCAAAAATCAATTTCTTGCAATCGCAGTTTATTGCCTCTTACATACGTGCTAGGTATTAGTATCCTACGCATCCTGGCTAAAAATCTAATTTTTTAGAACACATGAACAGTGCCTGCGAAGCTAGCCTAGTTGGTGGCGTGGCATTTTGGGGCGTGTCTGTTAGGGGTAACCCACCGCATAAACTGTCTGGCAGTGGTCATTCATGATTCCTGTAGTGGTACTGAACAACTTCAAAGCTGTTTTAGGTGGTACAGATTTCAGCTAATCTAGCCTAGCTTTGGTCTAAATATTAGATAACTCTTGTCAGGGATACCCCACCACTACAAATGTCTGGCAATTACATAGCTCTGTCAGGGGTACCCCACCGCTAGAAATGTCTGTCAGAGTATTTGTGTAATACCTGAAGATGTACGGTACACTGCAGTAAGATTTTCGTGTGGTACACTTTTGAGCTAATCTAGCCTAGTTGGGGATCATGGCATTTAGGCCGTGTAATACCACACCCACCACCAGAAACCCGACAGACTTACATTCTGATGATACCAGATATACATACATTGATACCATATAGGAGAAATTTGGTACACTTTTCAGCTAGTTTAACCCCCTGGGTTCCCGGTCTATATAACATTTCTTTGAACATTCCGATGATCTTAATCTTTATAACCTCAAAAAAAACCAATATGTCACTGGTTAAAAATGTAACATTTATCACAATAGTGTTAAAATAACATCCACCATGTTAACTGTATGCGAATGAAAATTGTTGAAAATATTCCGATAACCTTGTAAATTCGTCGTATGCACATCAATGTTACAAAATGTATTCAGACACGGAAGGGAAATAACTCTTGATTTTTTTTTTCTGTGCCCAGACTAGTAATTCTCTCCTATTGACTTAAATGTTAAATCCGTAATATTTCTTGGCCTATAACATTTCTTTGAACATTCCGATGATCTTAATCTTTATAACCTCAAAAAAAAACAATATGTCACAGTCATCTGAATAAAAATATTGAAAGAGGCTGACCATTTCGATTTTTTGCTCAACTTGTTCAAAGTAATCTATAGGCAGTGACATCCACCTAATTCATGCCTGTTTAATTCCTGACCCTACCGCCGTAAAAAAAAAATCATGAATAATCAGTCACCAACCCAAAACTTGGCAGAAAATGGAAATTCAAACACGCTTCTTCGATTCCAGTCAACAAAAAACGACATGCAAAAGGGGATGGGGGGAGAGAATTGCTATAAATAGAGGTACTACATTCGGTCTTAATCCTTGCATTTGTCACTTATTTGAATATTTATTTCTATGTACTTTACTTTTCTGACTAGATGCAGATCTTTCTGTTTCAAACTTCTCGCAGATGTCATAGATACATACCAACATTTATCCAATTCGTTTACTGACTAGCATTACTGTCAATAGCGATAACACCGGAATTGTAGGCCGATAGATGGGCAAGATTTCAAAAGATGATAAATTGCATAAAAAGTAATGAAGCGGTCTCCAGCTAGGTTGTTCTCATCTTAAATTGTTGGTAACATGTACTCGTATGCACAGTCGCAAGATAATCAATGAAAGAAAAAGTGTAAGCCGTATTCATTTCACAAAGTGAACAGCCATAAAGCCGATGGAAAATGTCATACCATAATACGTTCCGATCACAAAAGAATAATTTTCCCGACTTAAGAAGATCGCCACAGCGGAAATGCTTCTTCAATAATATAATTATAGAAATCATTATTTTTAGTGCTGTTTCGGAGGATCGTAATCCTTTACTTACCATGAATGTCTGGCCATCTCTAGATCTTTGTATTTTGGTACCTTGTGCCACATCCTGTCCTGATAAAACTCTGAGTTTAGCGGGTGTATTACCATCAGTATTATCACAAACATCTACCGATATAACATCATTTCCCTCTCTAATAACTACAGCACAAATGCAACCACGTCCAACACATGGCCATGATCTTATATGGATCTAGAATACAAATTGTTTAACTATGTGAACTCCTCAAATACCAAGTTAAATTCAGAAGTACAAGAGAAACTTGTTTTATGGACTTCTCGGGTGGTAAATAGTATGATCTGATACTTTAGAACATGATTTCAGGAGTCTAAGCTACTGGGTAGACGATAAAACCGCTGATAGTTATTTGCATTTTTTGGAAGAAATTCTTTATCGACTTTAGAATACACCCAAACCACTGCTAAATAACTTACTTCAAAAGCTCGTCTCTTATTTCTAAGAAATATATAATCACCTTCTTCATACAAATGATAAACTCTAAAATAAATTAACAAAATAAAACCAATTATAGGTAGTACATTGAACCCGTATCAACCAGATGAATGTAAACTTTAGTTCATGCTGGTACTTCGAAGTATCTTTCCTTTATAATTCATTTATCATCATGGATTAATCAGCACCTGCTAAATCCGACAATGTCTCTTGGAAAAGCAGCCCTTCCTGTCTGGAGAACATTCTTTGTGATGGATCTGTGACTATAATGTAGGACTGAAGTCATTATTATTATACATTTATATTTATCGAAATACAAGAGTGCGAAGATCGTCTTGTATGAATGCTTACCCGATACGCTCGAGTCCTCGGATATGTGGATCAGAAAAGGCATAGCATCGACTTGTTATACCATCCAATGTCATCACCTAAACACAAGACTTGCATATTTAACATTAGTTTAATGTCAGTTAGCATACACTGTTAAAAATAAATGTAAAATTACCGTGAGAAATATGTAATTTCTTTAACATAACGCTGTAAAAAATACCACTGCATGTTTTTATACTATAAATTTACTGTATTAGTGCGGTAACATGGGATTGCTGTAAAAAAAAATTGGTAAATTAACAATAAAAGTGTAGTTTTACAAGTTAGAACTGTATTTTTATTACATTTAATCTATATTGATACAACTATGTTGGTTAAAATTACATGTATGTTGTACTTTAGCTGTTTTATGGGTAATACTACTATTCAAACATGTTTAAATACGGGATTTGTGTAAAATTTACAGGAAACGTGTAATTGTACATCTCTTTCGAACTTTAACATTGATAGACCTTTTAAGGCTTCATTACTTTTCGTCTATTCTATTGTCCATTTATGAGGGAGTCACGGTGGCTAAGTGGGTAAGACGCTGGCTCGCTAGTCTGGATGTCGGGTGTTCGATCCCAGCATTGGCCGAGAAAGTTCATCAAGATTTTACGGCGTTGTTCCCTATTGTCAGTGATGCAGAACGGAGGGCCGGACAAGGATAGTTGTCTAGTCGTTCGGATGGGACGAAACACCAAGGTCTCGTGTACACGTTGGTGTGCACGTAAAATATGATCACTATTAAACTGTTAAATTTATATGTATATTTACAGTTATAAGTATACTTAAAATAGATGTTCGATTTGTAATATTACATAGTTTATTAACTTACATTTAAAACGATGTAGATGCGTATGGATACAAAGCTTTGTAAGATTACATTAAACGTAATGTAGATATACAAGCATATGTCAGTTTATATTATTATTATTATTATTATTATTGTTCGATTTATATAGCGCTTCATTACACGTGAAGTGTTTCTAAGCGCATATCACAAACATATACTTCAAACACACAGAAACAATCAAAATCAGGAGAACATAATTAAACACAGCTGCCTGTTAGGCGCTATTATTCAAAGGTTTATATCCAACAAATCAACCGGCTAATCTCTATATTGAACTCAGTCGAGGTATTACCTGATGAACACCTACACCAAGTAGAGTTCAAAAATAAAAAACGAAGTTTAAAAGAATCAGCTTCATTAACAAAAATTAAACAATCAAAAACTAAACAGATAAATCAAATTCAAACGAAACAAATAAAACAAAGAAAATGAAAAGAGCAGTTCATTACCATTCTACATTAACAAAATAAAGGAAAACAACTTGTGAAATTTTTTTCAAAAAATAAGAGCAACTGATGTCAAGCCATATCTACTGTAGAATGTATTATTGGGTTATAAAAACGTCTATTTTAAGTTTCATCAAAAGCAGATAAAATCTATCTACACAACAATGTGGACATATATAACAATGAATGAGTAATATTTGCCTTGAAAACAAATTAATTGGCAATTTTGCTGATGTTTTTCAATCTAAATCAGAATATAAATTGGAATAAATTATGGTATATTAACAGAAATGCCATTTGAATTATTATTTTCACAGCAAATTGTAAATTAACTGTCAAATAGGGGCCACATCGGCTATTCCCTCTTTGGCCACAAGTAAGATAACATCAAACGTAATGTAGAAATACAACCATATATCAGTTTATATTATGTGAGCTGTATATTAACAGAAATGCCATTTGAAATAGTATAGTAAATTTACTGTCAAATAGTGTTAAAATCGGTTATTCGCCTTCGACCACATATCGAATTTTGTGCAAAATATTTACTGTTATGTCAGTCAGATTAGTCTATTTTAGAGAAATAGGTTATTCAAAATCTGAATGCATAGAACTGGCGCATGGAGACCGTGATATGCCATACTGCCATACATGGGGTTGTGTGGAATATTTTGCTTCGTGTCATGCCTCGTACTCTTTCCATTGTAAGAAGCACGGCAGTAGGACGTTAAACCCCATTTCATTTAATTTCCTTCCATTATCGAATGCTGTTTTGCATGCTCGGCTGAAAGGTCCGCAAAACTTTATGTGTTCGCCAAGATCTAACCTAGGACTACTTAGCCGAGTGGGGACAAACTCGTTGAAAGTATAATTCAAGTAAATATATACTTCAAATTGTAGTCTCACCGAAAAATGAGTGGCAGAAAGTTGCCGGTAAAATCACTGTATTTTCACATGGACTTGTAAATGTACCCATAAATGGTAGATTTAGATTTACAAACACCCCGTAAATTTACAGTGAGTGTAAAATAACTTTGAGGTAAATTTACAACCACAGTGTAAATTTACAGTGAGTGTAAGATAACTCTGAGGTAAATTTACAACGTGTAAATTTAGAGTGAGTGTAAATTTACCTCACTTTCAATTTACAAGAACAATGCAAATTTACACCGAATTTATTTTACACTCACTGTAAATTTACATGCTGTTTGTAAATCTAAATCTATCATTTAGGTGTAAATTTACATGTCAGCGTTAAAGTACAGTCAATTTACTGGCAACTTTCTGCCAGTCAATTTACGGTTAAAATACACAAATATTATTTACAGTGTAATAATGAGTTCAGGGTATTGCAAGAAAATAGTTTTCCGGCGCTATTCAACCGTGTCAGTGATGCAGGACGGAGGGCCTTGCGAGGAACAACGAGTGGTTCGCATGGGACGAATAACCGAGTTCATGTGTACACATTGGCGTGCACGTAAATGAACCCTTGACAGTGGGATTTCTATATAAGAGTAGGCCGTAGTGCCGCTGTCCGAGCAAAATCTCGCTCATAGCGAAATTTTTTCATTATCCCTGTCGCTGCAAAACAGTAATACGCAAAACCCCTTTTCATTTCATTGCTTTACACGTTGGAAAGTTCTTTCTTTTATTTAATAATTTGGTTTCTTGTCACCACTTTAGTCCTTAGTCATTTTTCATTAAAGACGTTTTAGATATAGCCTTAAAAAGATGTCAAAATGATCAAGACAAATATAATCATCACCTTAACTCCAGGAAAAGAGTAGCCCTGCCAGATATCAGAAGCGGCTGAAAAGTCGGGATTGAAGTTGAGTAAAAGTTGCTGGTCACCATCATCAACAAAATCTCGTGTTGCCATGATACTGGTAACTGTCATCGCGGATCTTTTAACGGGGTTCCAGTCATCTCTATTTAATTTCAGACGACAATCTCTCACAGCAACTATATCCTCTGTTAAAAACAACATCGGGAACGGTGTTAGTGGATTAATGGCTACGGAACAGGAAGGAAATATAGCTGATACCGAGACCATTGTTTCATATTCCTGAATGGCTGGCCTTTAGAATATTTCCACCGCTCACTCTTGGTCAACTCAGTTTAGATATAATGATAAATAAATGGACAGATTGGTGTAATTAAAATTTAAGAAAATGTTATGAAATTGACTTTGATTTTTTTCGTAGACAATTAAATAAAAAAAAATATTTTAAAGTGCTTGTCTCGTCGGAAAAATATAATTCTCCATTAATAATCTACGTTTAATAGAACACACTAATTAACGTCATTACTGAAAATGGTCACGGGTTGAAGTTTTCAAATTTGATATTTTTTCCGAGGTTTAATCTGTTTGCTAACTTGAATATCAGATTAAGGGGTCCGCTTTTACTGACACAAACTCTTAACACTAGCACACCAATCTGATTAAAACACAGGTTCTATTTCGTTTCGTTTTTTATGGTTCAAAATTTCGTTTTACTTGTCTTTACTACACTAGGATATGGAAGAGTTGTTATTATTACTGGCGTTCTGGTTGAAGTGAGGGATTAGCCAATGAGTTCTTGGCGTTTGATGCACGAAACTGTGGGTTAACCACTAGAAACGTCAACGCTGATTGATTAATCAATGTCTGACGTCATAGGGTCAAAATAAAAAGCCGCTCGTACGACCCCTGACGCGGCCTTCCAGTACAACCGGTCAGAAACGAAACATTGATCTGTATTTTAATCAGATTGCTAGCGCACTAACTTTTTGTTCTGATCTCACCCAATGTACTATTACACTCATATGTGTCAACAACTTGTAAAGGTTGTAACCAAATCCTTACCCCAAGAACCCCGCTGAACGTCCATTGTTAAATGAATAGCACACTCTCTTTTATGGTGACATAGAACAGGTAAAGTACAGGTTACATTTACAGTTTGTTCATCACCACTCTCTGATACTGATATAGTGTTTGGTGATACCTGTAATATAACCGTTTCATTAATCATTAATTTAGGTGGCGAACAGAGTACACAAAACATTATTCGTTTATCCCTGGAAAACCTGATAACATTCCCAGTCTTCGGCCATTTTTGGACCAGGAACTGGTTTCTGAGCGTTACTCATCTTGTTGTTCTTCTTTTTCTTCTTCTTGGGGCAAAGATCTTCGAAACAAGCCGAAGGCTACGCTAATTTTCTCGTACGATCGACATGAAACTTGGTTCCTTGTACAATAGTTATTTGTAATATTTTAATTATACCTGATTATTAGATGAATTTGGGAGATAACTCCGGTTCTCACAAACTCTAGTTTAATATGATTAGAATGTGAACTGATGGTAGTATTGTTGTAATAAATGGATTATTTGAATGTCATCTATAAATTTCTCGATTAAATCTATGATAATCCTTAGCTTTGTTGACTTGAATAGAATATTGATAGCCTGGTCATGATTGTAACAAATCAGTATTTCATTGCCTCCCAGGATATATTTTAAATATCGGATATACAGATAATATGATTATTTTTTATTATTATTACAGATCTATTTATATTGGGATAAACAAAATATATACAATTGCCAGAAAACTATTATGCACGAACGATCAGCTTTCTGGAGGACGGGAAGATTATTCCAGTATCGTGATTAAAGTCACGGAGCAGTAAAACCACTTCGATGGTTCAAAAGTTACACGACTGAAAATTGATGTACGACTCGGTAGGGCTTATCTACACCGAAAACTGGACATTATTTAGACTGATATTCCTTTTAGATGTTCAACTTTCGGAATATTGTGGTTTGCACAGAGACCATAATTCCATAGCATATCCGCAAACATAATTGTAACGAAAAGTGATGAGTTTCCTAATTCCAAGATGCCGAAGGGCCATTTCTAGTCCTTTGATTACAGCAGTGATTAGCGAAGACTTACCATCATTCCGCCCCAATAACCATCACTCTCAATAAAACTACCTTTAACACTCGGCATTGACGTATGAAAGGCCCGTACATGACATCGCAGCTACAAAAATAATATATAAAAATATCATTTATATATTTTAATCTTTTTCTTGTCACTTTAATTTTTAAGCATCAAGAGAAGTGGACAGACCATTTTTAAGGCTTTGCAATTGCGGGGGTGGATCTCATTTTGGCCATCTGTTGTATTTTTCGCTTCTAGTTTATTATTATTGCAACATTAATAGGGTATACTTATAGTGTATACAATACAGAACAAGTAATCAGTTTTCTTTATCATTTAGTCAAGTTCAAGCAGAAAGCCTGCATTTCCAATTTAAATTAACAAACCGAGGACATACCGTTTTCCCCACGTTTCCTTTCCAGTGTTCTTGATCAAGATATGAAACCCGATCATCTCCAGTGATGGAAGTAGCGGGAACGCCGTTGAATGGTTGACCATCAAACGACCACGTGATGTCAAAAGCTACGTCACTAGCTCCAGCCGGGAATGATATAGTACAAGCGAACCGGAATAGATTACCAATAATCTCTGGACCGATTAGCCTTGGTGCTGATGGTAATTGTGGTGGTGATTCTGAAATAATAAATTGTTTGTCTTAGTTTTTGAGTGAAAATAAAATATCAGATTATGTTCACAATTTACAGAAGGAAGTTTACGGGTCAATCAATGGATCTCCAAATTCTGCAAAATAAAAGCTAATCCATGGATGTGGAGAAAATACGAGGTCCACCCGTGTACACACTGGAGTGCTGCTGTCTGGGCAAAATCATCCTCCCTGATATTGCAAACATTACCGTATGTTAGTCTCAAAATGACTGAAAGTTGTTTCAACGAGGTGTTAAACACCATTCCTATCATCCCTTATAGACCAGGAGTCCAGGGGGTCAACCTAACTGAAAAGTGTACAAATTTTCTTCTATATGGTAGGTGGTACAGATTTCAGCTAATCTAGCCTAGCTGTGGTCTGGAAATTAGATAACTCTTGACGGGGATACTACCCCACTACAAATGTCTGGCAATTACATAGCTCTGCCAGGGGTACCCCACCACCAGAAATGTCAGTGAGAGTGTTTTTGTAATACCTGAAGATGTACGGTACACTGATGTATGATTTTCACGTGGTACACTTTTGAGCTAATCTATCCTAGTTGGGGGACATGGCATTTTGGGCGTGGAATACCACACCAATCACCAGATACCTGACAGACTTACATTCTGATGATACTAGATGTATATACATTGATACCATATAGAAGAAAATTGGTACACTTTTCAGCTAGGTTGACCCCCGTAGTCCGTTTACCAAACCCAATATTTCGAGTAGACCTGGAAATTATATACAAAGATTTTTTTATGATTGATTTTAGTAGTCTAGGGTGTCCTCTTTCAGTATCTGCCAGGTGAACCTCGGTCACCCTTGAGCGTTTTGAGAAATTCGAGATGGCGTCTAAGACGGCCGCCACGTCAAATAATCTCCTATAGCTCCCATAGTATAATCGCCCCCAACCGCCGCTAACGAGTTAAAGGGCCATATTGTCTTGCATGTTTGATTTTACTATCATCTAATCACCCCACAACATAATAAATGATTTCAGTGTATTCCTTGGCTGGCCCCAGAAACATACGGCTAGACACCAAAATTATCATCCTAGAATAAATACTATGGGAGCTATAAGGGATTATTTGATGTTGCGGCCGTATTGGACGCCATCTTTAATTTCTTAAAAGGCCCAAGGGTGACCGAGGCTCACCCGGCAGATTCTGAAAGAGGACACCTTAGGCTACTAAAATCAATCACAAAAAGAAACTTTGTATACAATTTCTAGCAACATTTTAATAATTTAGTTCAATAATGCAATAGAGTGTGGTGTTCAGGGGCGCTAACTTAATATAAAATGAAACTTACCAACACAGTAAGACATGGGACATCCTGGTGTATTACGTAGATTGTAAATAACAAATTCACCACAATTTCTAACATCTATAGGTATTGTTATAGAACAACACGTTCCTGCAAAATCTGTTCCTGAACGAGCATTTACACATGTGTTACGTTTTACAATTCCATCTCTAGGACTTGGAATGGTGCCATTCATCCAGATGGGTGCTTGGGTTCCACATCGGAAGGGTTCAATACATGTAGTTGGAATTAATCCATCTAAGAATCTATACCAGCCTTGGACCAGGTACCGATCACATAATAGAGTATCTGTCTGTCTTGGTTGCTGGAACGTGCTCCTCAATGGATCACTGAGGTTAGAGTACGTGAGACATGGGTCAATTTCTCTTGACTGGCCACCTAAAGATGATACAATTTCAATTTAATTTTAGTTTTTAATTTCAATATTTCAAAGTAGCCATTTTGTTATCGATTTATAAAAACTGCGGCAGTCTTTGTATGAAGATAAAATATTATTATTATATTATGGTCATCTACAAACTTATTGAATCCCATAAAACTTAAATACAAGTTTGAACAATCCAATTCTTACATTTGTTGGTAACCAAATAAAGTTTGTTTATAGTAAGCTGTGTCGGCTTTAGAAGCCTGAAGCCAAATTTGAAGTTAAATTATTTATAAAAAAAATGAACAATAATGCACACTTTTGTACAATGGGAATTTTACTTGACACGACTACAGTAGATTATTTTAACGCGGGGCATCGTTTGGGGGCTCTCCAGCTGGCAGGGGCCCGTGGGATGCAGCCTCTAAAGCCCTTGAATTTTTTTTTAACAAATTTTTAATTATATAGAGCTTGCCGAAATATAACATAGAATCAACCCAATTCAATACTTTATTTTTACCTAAATCAAAATGGTTTAGCTCTTTTAAGTTGTATAGATATGAACATCTCAATTTGTTGTGGAGAAACTTAAAATTCAACTACCCATAAACAAATATTGCCTTTTAGAAACAGTTATAGTTAGCTTATCAATTGGTGGGCCTCTTAGAACATCGAACAGTCCTAAAGTCGTCCGTTCTATATCGAAAAATAATAATAACCAAGTTTCATGGAGATAATTCTTCGGTTTACGACCGATATATTAGAAATTTCGATCTTGTTCGATAATTCCCTGCCAAGTATAGAGCTATTTCACTGTGAACTGTGTCCTGTATAATGTTCACAAAATTTAAAACTAAAAGTGTAAATAAACAATTCTCTTACTAGAAAATGATAAATTTCGAACGAGGTATGAATTGTGCCTTAAAGCGGCAATGGGTTCATCAACGGATCCATATTAATTTAGAATTTCTGACGCTTTAGACTCTTGTACATTCAAAATTCACTAATAATTACCTTTGGGTAAACGTTTATTTTGGTTGCAAAATTTAAGAATTTTCAACCTTATATTTGAGAATTGTGTGAGCTTGCAGGGATTTTGATGACCACAACAATATTGTGTTTTAATTCCATGCAAAGACGTGGTTGTTGTATTTTGCTTCTCTAATGGGCGATCCCGCCATTACATTATCTCTAACTATGTCCCGTTAAAAAAAAAAATCCAAAAAAGCTAAAAATGTGGACGAACAGGCAAAACTCCACAAAATAAATTCCGAATTTTGGCTCTAAAAATATGGATACAGGGTACTTCTTTGGCCCAAATGTCAAGCACTCTGTCCCAATTCGTCTTCACAAGATTTAAAAGTCAAAACGTTAACGGGGAGATAACTAAGTGATACCACCAGGTTTGAGAAAATTCTATGAGATGGCTGTTCTGTAACGGCGCTCATAGAATTTTAACGCCAAAATACTACCGAAAAAAAACAAGACCGTTTTCGTAATTTAAAATCCGAAAATATTTTGAAATCCGATATCAATCCTACCAAGTTTGGAAAAAATCTATCGAGGAATTTGTCGTGAGTCACGTTCAAAAGCATTCATACGAATCAGTTTACTTATAAAATGAAATGAAATGAAATGGAGTTTTATGGTACGTCAGCTCCAATCGTATTGCGTTAAGCCCAATAAACAATCCATGATTATCTTTTTTTTGTTAAATCTGATGAGAATAGAAAAAAATTTAATTACTGAATAATATACTCAAGATATAAATATAAATTTCCGCTTTTTAAGTGTTTATTTATTTTATTTTTTTCTTAAAAACTTACCCAGTATATAAACAGTACTAAGCAATACCAAAAATCTTACTCCATTTTTTCTAGTCATTTTGACTGCTGCTGTCAACGAGTCTACGAAGCCACCATAGTTTATAGAAATGACCTTTGATCTACGTGGTTTTCGCGGTCGGATCATTTCGTTAATACGGTGGCGGAAATAACGTCAGGTTTAAACGTGATGTTACTAACACCATACAACAACACAAATACGTGATACCGGCTCTGCCTCGCCGTGTTACAAGGGGCAACATAAAAGAAGAAAAAAAACCTGTTAAGAATAAGATAATAGGTTTAAACAATAACTACGATACATTACTTACACAAGTTTTCAAGAGGCAAGGGCACATTGAGGGACTTCTGCACTTATGAATTTTTAAATAGACTGCAATGACAAAAATCAGATTGTTTGTACTATATGAGACCAATCGGCTGAAATATAGTTTTAAGAGACCCGTAGGCAGCGGGGGAGCATCTGGGAGTAGCTGTCCCCTCCCCCCTCGGAAAAAAAATCGGCGCCCTTTCCATTGGACGAAATACGAAGCCAACGACCAACGTGCCTATATCAGTATGGGCATCATATATAACGACGAGATTGGCGGGGCGCCCAACCAATATCACTTGGTTTCATGGGCTCCGCGCCATTCATGTCGTTATATATGACGCGCCCCCCAAATGGTGAGGCGCCTCATAATGACTCACGCGACTAACAACACAACGGCGTGATCTGTGGGGAGCCTTATCCTGGAGGGGCGCCCATAATAACATGAGTGGTGGTACAGAGGCGGATTCAATTGGGGTTGCGAGGGGTGCCCCCCCCCCCTAATTTTCGACAGTGCCCTTTTTTACTGCTGGAAGTGCCTTCTCTCAGACTCAAATATGTCCGTTCCCAACCCGTTATAGGGATCCCAAATGACTCAAACCATCGACTCAAACACACCAGTCTGGGAAATAGCTCTTGGAATGGCTACAGATGCAAGGAAATGACGGATAATTTTCTTGGGCCCCCCCCCCCTCAGCGGCGTGCCCCGTCTCCGCGGTCAATGCCTTCATTTTGCAGCGCCCCCCCCCCCTTTTAAAAATTCCTAGATCCGCCCCTGTGGTACGCCTTATAATGACAATTTCTGATTGTCGGGCCGCACATAATGCATAATGCCGAGTGAGATTGGTTGGGCGCCGCATCCTGGAGGGACGCCCATATTGCCGAGATTCGTGGGCCGCCCACGATGAGATCATGAGCGCCCAACCAAGAAACCGCCCGCATACCGACGCCCGAAGAAATCTACCATAAGAAAGCCAACTGGAGATTGCAGGAAATTCTCCAGGTCAAATTCACGATGGGGATGAGACTGATTCAAGCCCGTAACAGGCGTGATAATCTTCACAATTCAAACAAGTCGCACTTTAACCTGATTCCAAACTTTTGTTTTTCTCATAAATAAATATCGGTACGCTAAAGTCGTATTCCTTCCTTCAAAATATCATTACACGCCAATATCGCAAATTCAGCCTCAAAATTGAAATTTTCCGCTATTTTCATAATTCCTCCCCCGGGTGCAAACCCTATTTCCCAAAATTTTCTGGGCTAGCTATGGGCTTTTTTTAATTGACCGTACATATTTTAGGGTTTTTTTAAGGAGTTTAATATTGCCTTACTCTAACTAGATTTTAGATAAGTAGGTGATTCTATAACTATTTTAATATTAATTGCACTTATTTTCTTGGTAAATGTGTTAATGCCTCTTTAAGTCCAGACAACCTTATTTTTGTGAAATGTATTTGGCTTAGTAGCGAAAATACGGGGGCGTCCTTAATGGTACATGACACGAGTCTTTCTTATTGTTTAAAAAAAGATTTGTTACGTAAACTTTTTTCAACATTTTCATTGAGTTCGTTCTATAATTCTGTCGAAAATACATCAATTGGGAAGTCTTGGTTACATTTGATTAATAATAGCATGTTCTATCTTATTGTTCTGTTATTATTCGCCAGAATAATGGGTTCAAACACACTAAAATGATCTGGGAGACATAAAACTTAAATGGGTCCCCTGGCACAGTATCATTTAAATTGGTCATCGTTCACAGCTTCTAAAACTCTAAAGTTTCAACACATATTTGGACCGGACCAAAGTGTTACATCCAAATAGCAAATTGAATCCAAAGATAAATATCTAATTTGTGAAAATGTGATGTAAATATACAAATTCTTGTAACGTTGTTTGAGCACAGTTAGAGCAATATTGCGGCAGTATTATCTCCATCTTTGATCAATACAGTATTATTATATATATACAATTTGCATTGTTATTATAATCCTTATTGTATTTTAGATTTCATTACAATCATCTATATATATATTTGTGACTGTCGTTTGTCTGTTTGTCTGTCTGTTCGGGGTTGGCGGCTGCACTAGGTCTGCCCCGAGTCTGAAATTTGGTGTATAGGGGTAGCTCGGACCGGGGAGTAACATAGGCCAGGTGGCGTTAGTCTACCACTTCCGGTTTCGGAGTTATGACCCCCGAGCGAAGCCGGTCTGTTCGGGGTTGGCGGCTACACTAGGTCTGCCCCGAGTGGGCCATACTATATACCGGAAAACACAAGAAAACAACGGAATACAACCGGAAAACACAGGAAAACAACCGGAAAACACCATTTTATACTAAATACCGGAAAACACCGGAAAAACACTAAATACCGGAAAACATCCTAAATACCGGAAAACACCCTAAATAGGTAACCCGGAGCCTGGTCTTCTGTGTGCGGTTTTGGACCAAGTGAGCGCCGATGAAGGAAGGTCAAGGTCATTACGATGTTCGTTTTACAAATCCCCCCCCCCCCCCCCAAACAAAAACAAAAATTCCGATTTTTTTTTTCTACAAAATTTTGTTGATGCCTATTATGTTTTGAATGTTTTAAAAGACGCAATCAGTCTACCTCCATCATTGACCATATTTTATTTTGTATTTTAATTTTAGTTTTCAGTAAATTTCAGTAGATTTCAGTGTTTCAGTATTTCAGTAGATTAAACACAGCCCTCTGAGGGCCCCGTTATATGCCGGTTGCGCCGGTTGCGCCGGTCTCCTGATTCTTACCAGTAACGCTGGCATCAGGGTGGTACGAATTAGTGGAAGGCACGATTAGACCAACTCCTCCCTAGGTAACAAAAAATCGCATCATAAAACAGAAAGTATCATCAAAAGCGAGTTAATAAATCTTTGAATAGTTCGAGTTGAAGTTCCAGGTTTAACCGCTATGTGTCCTAATCACCTAACGAAATGGATGCCACGATATTCTCGGACAGGCTGTAATCTGAAAAGTGTATATCCTTTCCAAGAGCTATCCATCTCGTTGGAAGGGCTAAAAATCTATTTGTTTCTGAGCTTACTTTCATTCCAGGGTCAAATGTAATCACTTGAACCATAATAATATTCAACATATTCCATCATATTCCGAGGGCCGCACACAGGATTTTTTTCTGGATTACTTTTCGAGCTTTTTTCCCCAACTCATTGACCAGTTTTCCTTGAGAAAACCCCAACTTTCGCCCAATTGTTCATGAGAAAACTACATATTCTATCTTACTACATTGACGGGAAGTGGGAAGCTGGACGTCTGTGAAAAGGGTTGATCGATAAATTTTCAAGGAAGCAATTGTTGTTTTTGTTTGTGAAATAGAGGACTCTAGCCGATGAGGCTACTTTCCCCCCCCCCCCCGAAAACCTCAGGCAACCAATTTGTTTTATGTACTACTATCGTAATAAAACATTACTATGTTAACCACTTCCTGGTGGCTGAATACTTACACCGAATGCGTATTCGGAAAAAAAATGTCCCTGAGAAAATGTTTTTTCCGACAATCGATATTCGAGATGTCTTCTGTTGCACAAATTATGCTGCACTGTGTAAGAACTTGCATCCTTTGATCTGAAGATTGTAGATGGAAAAGTATCATTTGCACTATTTCAAAGTAAACCTGCAATTTCGTATATCATCCCGTAATTTGTTATTAATAACAATGACTGTGGAAATAATATGGGTTGAGGAACGGAAGATCTATGTTCGTCACGTGATTTGACAATTCCACCCCCGTCCCACCCTGACGATGATCCCTCCCGAAGCGGCGCAGCGCGGCGCGCTCTCTAAAAAAAATCTCGGGCACAGTTTACTCTTCTAAGTTTTCGGCAACCAATTTGTTTTATGTGCTACTATCGTAATAAAACATTACTATGTTAACCACTTCCTGGTGGCTGAAGACTTACACCGAATGCGTATTCGGAAAAAAAATGTCCCCGAGAAAATGTTTTTTCCGACAATCGATATTCGAGATGTCTTCTGTTGCACAAATTATGCTGTCACGTGATTGGACAATTCCACCCCCGTCCCACCCCCGTCCCACCCTGACGATGATCCCTCCCGGAGCGTCGCGGCGCGGCGCGCTCTCTAAAAAAAATCTCGGGCACAGTTTACTCTTCTAAGTTTTCCGGTAGCTATTTAGTAATGCGGAGTTTGGTCCTCGTGTGTGGTTTTGGACCAGGTGAGCGGTGATGAAATAAAAAATTCTAATTTTTTTTCCAGTATTTTTTTCTGTAAACTTTTTTTTTGGGGGGGGGGGGGGGCAATTTGTAAAACGAACATCGTAATGACCTTGACCTTCCTTCATCGGCGCTCACTTTGTCCAAAACCGCACACAGAGGACCAGGCTCCGGGTTACCTATTTAGGGTGTTTTCCGGTATTTAGGATGTTTTCCGGTATTTAGTGTTTTTCCGGTCTATTCCGGTATTCAGTATAAAATGGTGTTTTCCGGTGTTTTCTGGTGTATAGGGGTAGCTCGGACCGGGGAGTAACATAGGCCAGGTGGCGTTAGTCTACCACTTCCGGTTTCGGAGTTATGACCCCCGAGCGCAGCCGGGTATCTGTCTGTCTGTTCGGGGTTGGCGGCTACACTAGGTCTGCCCCGAGTCTGAAATTTGGGGCATAGGGGTAGCTCGGACCGGGGAGTAACATAGACCAGGTGGCGTTAGTCTATCACTTCCGGTTTCGGAGTTATGGCCCCCGAGCGAAACCGGTCTGTTCGGGGTTGGCGGCTACACTAGGTCTGCCCCGAGTCTGAAATTTGGGGTATAGGGGTAGCTCGGACCGGGGAGTAACATAGGCCAGGTGGCGTTAGTCTACCACTCCCGGTTTCGGAGTTATGACCCCCGAGCGAAGCCGGGTATCCTGCTAGTGTTTATATATTTTTGTACCATGTCATTTATTAGTAGGATAGATTCACTGTGTATTAATATAATAATGTGCTTTGATCAAACTGAGCAAGATACTGTGTTGGCATAAAACAAACGCGACCCTAAATCATTCTGCAAGATGCTCAGTAGTCTTGGTTCTAAACATGTACGTTGGTTCTGTGAGATTGACATTGAAACTTTTGACGATTTATTTAAGTAGGTAAATTCTGATGACGATTGAATTGATATCAATTTGTTGCCGGCGACAACTCAATCTGATGAGAATCTGGCCAACTTGAGTGATGAAATCTTAAACGGTCCGATTACCGCAGATGAAATCACGAAAATCATTGAATCTATTCTCGTTATTGGGTATTTTAAATCAACGCTGGTAATATTTATCCCAATTTAAGTCTAGTAATTAAATATTGCCCTTGATTCATGTCAGAATATTGCTCTGTTGGAATAATAAAGTTCGACTGCAAGGGCAAAGTCGAAAGTGCTTCGAAAATTATAGACGTAACACTTTAATTAGGTTCTTGGAAATCATTTAAGCCTTAAAACAGATTAAATCAATTATGATAGGTGTGTGTCAAGCTGGTTTCAGAAAAAGAACATTCAACCATGAACAACTTGTTTATACTGCATTCATTAATAGTTTTATGTCTCCAGAAGCACAGATAACTTTTCTGCTGCTATATAGATTTCGGTATATCATTTAACTTCTTACGGAGATTCGGTTTATGGTTAAATTTAGAAAACTCTCAAATCAGTGGTGAAATATTTAGAGCAATTAAAAGTATGCATGGTAATAGAGCATGTTGCATCATTAATCTGATTATTTCCTCAGCAAAGCGAGTGTAAGGCAAGGAGAAAATATTTCCTCATTCCATTTCCTAATATTCCATAACGATCTAGAATAATAACAATATGTATACTTTTGTTTTACGCAGATGACAGTGTAATGTTATCTAATAATGCAACATGTGTACAGAAATGTCTGGATTGTTTTGAGAAATATTGTGTCGACTGGAAATTAACTGCAAACACCAACAAAACAAAGGTTACTATAGTTAAAAAAAAAAGTAAATTTGATTTTAAATTTGGAAATTCTAAAATTGAAATTGTAGATACCTATAACTATAACATACAACCATTATATTAATTATAATGGTTCTGATAAAAAAAAAAAAAATAAATTAATTGATCAGTCAAATGAAGCTCTATTTGCAATATACCGTAAAAAAGAAATATTTGACCACCTATACATATACAATTACAGATTTTTGAGTGTCATTATCCTGTACGGCTGCGAAATATAGGGGTTTGAAAATATGATTGATAAATGTTTGTAAGATTGTTTTTTATTTCTCCAAGTATTTTAATACTTAAAAGTACTTTGTACTTTTGAACGCACTCATGAAACAAACAAACAAAAAAATGAAATAAACAAACCATGAGAAATATAATTAAATTATAAATTAGTCATACGTAAACTGGTGCATATACAAGACGTGTATATTCTTGTAAAATACTTATTATAGTCATTGTGTACAATGTTACAATTAAAAAAGTCGACTGTTCGGTGCAGAACTCCGCGGGAGCAGGGTTGTTTCTTTTGAGTTGTATTGTAGTCAAAACTGAACATGACATAATTGTTGATTTTAGGTGAAAAGAACAAAATGGCGATTATGAAAATGAAGAAACATAGTTTGCCACGATAAAGCTTCCGACTATCATGACCAGGTTATCTCTATGGGGTAGTTGGATGGCCGAATGGTTAGCACGTGCGCGCTGTATCATAAGGCCTGTCATTGAATCAACTGGCGTGGTTTCGAATCACCGGTTGTACGTAACAAGGAGTAAGGTCGCCTGCCCAACCTCGTGGGGTTTCTCCGGGTCCTCCGGTTTCCTCCTACTGCTAAAGCCCCTACGCGCAAGCGAATTATTGAAATAAAATTAAACCATATGTTAGTCCCGAAATGACCTAGTTTGTGTCGAGTGGGCGTTAAACCCTCCCTCTCTCTCTCTCTCTCTCTCTCTCTCTCTCGTTATCTCTATGTGTTTTAAAACATTAAGATGACATTTTCACAATAACTATATTTTGAAAGGTTGCATAGAGGGCTAGAAACGGATTTTAGTGGAGGCGCCGTGTTCCGACGGGGAAAAAATAGAAAGTGTTCAAAAATAAGATTGAAAAAATACGCCGAATCCATCGAGAAAACATAACATGCATAGGACCTGCTGAGTCCAGATGATGCCCCCACTTGCCCTGGCTACAAAAGAGCCCCAAATTAATATGTTTATTAGCCCAAACAGGTATACAAGGCAATAAGATAAGATAAGATTTAATGTATCTAAACACCCCATTAGAGGCACCATACAAATACGAACAAAACATTAAATACATAATGAACATGACAATGACTAATACAAGAAAAAAACGAAAAAAAACCCAACAACCATATTTACATGTATACATGTCTGTAAAACATGCACATCTATATGTCATACATGTACTAACAGAGGCTATTAAGTAAGAGGCATTATTCAAGGAATAGGTATGCCTATGGCAAGTCTTTTTTTAGGCCTCAAATGTTATATACTCTTCAAAAAACGTAGGGATATTCAGAAACAATACAAAACTGCAGAAATGCACTGCTGTTTTTATTAGAGGTAACCAGTGTATGTTAATAACAGGCCAATTGCCTACATATGAACATAAACAGTTCATATGGGCGGCTTATCTGACGGCCCCATTTCACTCGCAAAGAGATACGCCGTCAAAAGTGAAAATGGACGTTTTTGATTTTTGTCTTAATAATGAGTAATCCTCAAACATTTAGCAATTCGTCGTGGCATGCTCCTAATCAAACGTCCAATCACGATTTGGGGCAATCTGACGCACTCCACTTGCAGTGCCACGGCCAATTCTTGCAGTGTTGTCGGTTGACGTTGACGTGGACGAACACGTCTCCAGATCAAATTAAACGTAACATACTAAAGCAAAGATATGCTAAACAGTAAATCTTATGCAAGAACCGATAGGAAAGCAAACATGGATAGATAAACCAGCACGTGGGAGTTTTAATCAACCCTTCCTTGAAGTGTCAAACTTGACAATGAATCCACGTGTATGGCGCTATTGCGTGTCGCATGTGCAGCTCAGTGGTTCTGTTGGGACGATAAGTTCTTCATCTGTGAACATACTTTAAAGGGGCGTGTTCGTGTCATACGCCGTAGTTAATTCTTATTTCGTGTGTTCCTTTGAATTAAAAACAGAAGAGAGAGTTTAAGTTCCAATACTGTATTGTGTCAAATCATAATAATATACAAAATCAATACAATGTACAATTTTTTAAGTCAATAGATTTTCAAATGAACAATGAGTTATAAAAGAATAGGGGGGGGGGGCTAACTCACTATTTGTAAACCACGTTATATGTGTAATCGTAGGAGGTGACACCTGTACTTGATAAGCGGGCGTAGCTGCCGTATTACATCTATATTTAGCTAATCATTTGCTCGTGTGATTTAGCTCTTAAAAGCTTACATATGCAATTTACGCTCATATATGAAAAGTAAATATGATTTAGCGTGCATATTAAAGTGCAGCCAGCACTTTTGAGCTCAAACTGTACATGGACTAACGAATATAATTTTTGAACCCTATGTTGAGATGGTAAGTAGGCAATGATAAAATATAGTACAAAAAGGTTGAATATTTACACGTGAAATAAAAATAGAACTACGACTGTCCAATATCTATTAGTAGCCTATGCTTAAATAAGTCAATAATTAAACCAATCGAAATATAAAAATTTAAGATACATATGGGAAATTACATATATACAAGAAATAATGTTTGACTAAATATAATATAATAGAGAATAAAATCATGTAAGAAATAAAAAATGTAAATAACATTTTAGCTGATGAGGACAGCAAAAGAGAATAACGTGGCTTACCTTTGAATTAAAACAAAAGAGAGCGTTTAAGTTACAATACTGTATTGTGAAGAAGTTGAGTCCTACATTCGTATTTAAAGGCAAAATAAGGATTGACTCATTGAAGACACCTGATCAGTCAGTTGCGGTCACATGGGGTCTAAACCTGCCATGGTCTGAGTGCTTCGGGCCTAATTTGGCATTCATAGTTTTAGTTAATCCTTTAGTTCTGCTTCAGTGAGGAAATACAGTATTGGTAGCCCTAACTCTCTCAAGATGGTAACCAACGTAATTAATGAGGGCAATTAATTTATTTAAAACAATGAACTAAAAATTATATCAAGGGATATTAATCTTAATTGATATTGCTGGATTTGGTTGATTCTGCTTCCATTTTATTTGATGCGTGCAAAGTTTGTGGATATCTGTTTATCGGTTCCATTGGTACGGGAAGTGATGAGTTCAAGGGTAACATGGCACCAAAAGTAACATAAGTTCAATGGTAACGTTGCACCAGTGAAACCCGTCATTACTGCTTCGCAGTTCTAGTTAGGGTGTCACACTGCGTAGCTTGTGTGAAACACTATTGTTTTTGTTAAGATTATTCTTATGTATGTGAAAATTAGTTTGTAATATGAGCAGTTGCCGAGAAATGGGCAATTTTGCATGAGCCACTATTTACGCTAGTTTGCCTGTAAAAGAGTCAATTATTATTGGATTTTCATGAAAGTGACACCATTTGATGCGTAATGTCAATTTTAACTAGGTTAAACCAATTAAACATTTTCAATGTCACCGGAAATGACGTAATTTGGGCAAAAACTGTATTTATAGCCTTCGAAACAAATAATTTATTCAAATGAGTCGTATTTGTTATTTGTTTAAAATTTTGATATTTGATTCAAATCAACTAATAGAATGAACCTTGTTCAGTTGCGGAGAAATAGACGATTTTCAACAGGCAACTTTTCAAGGTTTTTGGTCCATAAAAGTGTCAATTATTATTCGATTTTCATAAAATTTTCACCGTGTGATACCTAATGCCATTTACGATTTCATTCAAGTAATTTAAGATTTTCATTATCACCGGAAGTAACGTCATTTTGGCAAAAACTGTATTTTTAGCCTTTAAAACGGATATTTTATTCAAATGAGTCTGATTTGTAATGTTTTGAAAATTATGATAGATTGAACCCATACAATCATACAGATACCAAAAAATGTTTTTTAACTTGTATGGTTGCAGAGAAATAGACGATATTCTACAAGTCACTGTTCAAGGTTTTTGGTCTATGAAAGTGGAGATTATTATTCGATTTACATAAAATTTTCACCATGAGTGATGCCTTATGCCATTTCTGATTTCATAACATTTTCATTATCACCGGAAGTAATGTAATTTTGTCAGGATCACTTACATGTAACAAATGTATACAATGAATTGATATTGCTGGATTTTGTTGATTATGCGTACATTTTATTTGATGTGTGCAATGCTTATATGTGTTTAATGGTTTCATCGGTGACATATGTTCAAGGGTAACGGGGCACCGTTGAAACCCGTCATTACTGCGTCGCAGTTCTAGTTCTTATTATTATTTTTATTTTTCCAATTTGATTGTATCTCAGAAACTACTTGTCGGATTGATTCGATGTCTTCGGTTTTACTGGAAAAGTGGGTGTGACTTAGAGGTTAAAGCTATTTCGAACGTTCTGCGACAATGCGAAATGTCCGAAATCGTCGAATTTGTCGATTTTTGAAATATTGCCGTAATATTAACAATAATCGTTGGATTTTAACATTGGATACATTTTGATATAGCCAGAGACAAGGCACATAGCTACGGTTCTTTAGATTTTTTTTTTTCGACGAATCTTCGGAGATATAAGGCGCCAAATTTTGAAAATTTTAATTTTTACAAAAAACTTTTTTATTTATGAATATCTTAATGTAGTATTTTACCCAGGGTTAAAGAGTCAACTGATTTGATCAAAAATGGCACCATTTTTTGTCATCGTAAATTTCCTTGGCCGCCATTGTCTAATTCAGTTTTTCAGTCCTGGATTAATTATTTATTGCTTGATTTGTATAAAACAAAGTTCATATGCTCCGTGATCCAAAAAGTAATTTTTGTTGTTACCGGTAAAGTTACCTTTCGGCAACGGAAGTGATGTAAATTTAGCAAAAACTACAATTTTGACAGTTCGGTACCACTTTTTGAAAGCAAATATTATTTTTTTCAAATCTGGTATGACTGAAAGTGTGTGCCCTGTAAAGGCGCAGAAAACATCGGGCTCAGTTTTTTTAATTTCGATTTCGTTTTCGGGTCATTTTGATTTAAAGGTGAAAAAAGGTGAAAAATGAGCTATTTACAACCCATTCAGGCTTTTCATATTTTAAAATATTTCTTCGCAACTTTCATAAATTTGTAGCATTAATCCATACGAAGAGAATCTATCTCAAAATTAGTTTGTAATATTAGCAGTTGCCGAGAAATGGTCAATTTTGCATGAGTCACTCTTTACGCTATTGTGTCTGTAAAAGAGTCAATTATTATTGGATTTTCATAAAAGTGACACCATTTGATGCGTAATGTCAATTGTGACTAGTTCAACTCAATTTAACATTTTCCATGTCACCTGAAATGACGAAATTTGGGTAAAAACTGTATTTATAGCCTCAGAAACAAATAATTTATTGAAATGAGTCGTATTTGTTGTTTGTTTAAAATTTTGATATTTGATTCTAATCAACTAATAGAATGAACCCATACGATCATATAGGTATCACAAAACGGTTTCTAACTTGTTCAGGTGCGGAGAAATAGGCCATTTTCAACAGGACACTTTTCAAGGTTTTTAGATTTTCATAAAATTTTCAATGTGTGATACCTAATGCCATTTACGATTTCATACAAGTAATTTAAGATTTTCATTATCACCGGAAGTGATACCAGAAAATGGTTTCTAACTTGTACGGTTGCAGAGACATATCGGTTTTCTACAAGTCACTTTTCAAGGTTTTTGGTCTATAAAAGTGGCAAATATTATTCGATTTACATAAAATTTTCACCATGTGATGCCTTATGCCATTTCTGATTTCATAACATTTTCATTATCACCGGAAGTAATGTAATTTTGTCAGGATCACTTACATGTAACAAATGTATACAATGAATTGATATTGATGGATTTTGTTGATTATGCGTACATTTTATTTGATGTGTGCAATGCTTATATGTGTTTAATGGTTTCATCGGTGACATATGTTCAAGGGTAACGGGGCACCGTTGAAACCCGTCATTACTGCGTCGCAGTTCTAGTTCTTATTATTATTTTTATTTTTCCAATTTGATCCTGACAAAATTTATTACTAACTTACCGATAAGTTAGCTAACTTTCTAATGGTAAATTAAAATGGGAAAAAAATCTATAAAAGTCATCCTGACAAAATTGGTTATTCCTCGACAAGGGAAGATACTAGAAGCCATTTTTGGACATCTATATGTCCATTGGAATCAAATATCAAAATTGTTAAACGAATAATAAATATAACTCACTTCAAAAAAATATTTGTTTTGAAAGCTAAAAATACAGTTTTTGCCCACATGACATTACTTCCGGTGATAATGAAAGTGTTAAATTAGTTCTATGAAATCATAAATGGCATAAGGCATCCCACGGTGAAAATTTTATAAAAATCGAATATTTATTTGCACTTTTATAGACCAAAAACCTTGAAAAGTGACTTGAACAAAATCGTCTATTTCTCTGCAACCGTACAAGTTAGAAACGTTTTTGTGGTATCTGTATGATCGTATGGGTTAATTCTATTTGTTGATTGGAATCAAATATCATAATGTTAAAAACATTACAGATCAGACTCATTTGAATAAAATATCTGTTTTGAAGGCTAAAAATACAGTTTTTGACCAAATGACATCATTTCCGGTGATAGTATAAATGTTAATTTGGCTTGTCCTAGTCCAAGTTGGCATTAGGTATCAAATGGTAAAACCAAATTGAAAATCGAATAATAATTGACTGTTTTACAGGCAAAATAATGTGAAGAATGACGCATGCAAACTTGCCTATTTCTCGGCAACTGCGCATATTACAAATTAATTTTCACATACATTCTCTTCGTATGGATTATTGCTACGAGATTAAGAAAGTTACGAAGAAATATTCTAAAAATTGAAGACGTTGAATGGGTTGTAAATAGCTTAATTTTACACCTTTTTTCACCTTTTAATCGAAATAGCCCGAAAACGAAAGCAAAATTAAAAAACTGAGTCCGATGATTTGTGCGCCTTTGCATGGCGTATACTTTTGGTAATATCAAATTTTGAAAAAATAATATTTGCTTTCAAAAAGTGGTACCGAACTGTCAAAATTGTAGTTTTTGGTAAAATTATGTCACTCCCGTTGCCGACAGGAAACTTTACCGGTAACAAAAAAAATGACATTTCGGAAAACGGACCTTATGAAGTTTCTATTATACATATCGAACAATAAATAATAAATCTAGAATCGAAGAACTGAATTAGTCAATGGCGACTAACTCGAATTACTGAGACAAGAATTGTTCACATTTTTGCTCAAGTCAGATGACCATTTAATCCTGTGTAAAATACCATCAAAAAATCTTCATTAATAAAAAAGGTTTTTGTAAAAATTAAAATTTTCAAAATTTCGCGCCTAATATAAGCGAAGATTCGTCGAAAATCAAAAA